TTGTCCCAATGCATTGTCAGCCGTGGTATGTGTGTGTGAGAATCTCTCGACACAAAAATCTTGAGACGATCCTATGGCAAGGAGCTTGGGAGTTTATTGGGACAAAAAGGGATGTAGGGACAAAGAATCCCGTGCCAAGTAGTTCCACCCTTGATAAGAATAATAGTGCTTCTAGCTAGTATGATGATATATATTTACTAACACATAAGCAAACCTTGTTGTACAACCTTCTCGTCTTGTCCCAAATTAAAGTGAAATTTACTGAGTCCCCATTACTGATGCATTCATTTTGATTTGAACTCTCTTATGTTGCCATTACTCCATTTCACATCCTCATTTCACCTTCTTTTTAAAACTTCAAAAAAAAAAAAAAAAAACTATACTAATATCTCAGTTAGCAATGTGTATGAATACCTAATCTCCTCCCTAAACTAATTTTACTTGGTAGTGTCAAGGCATCTACTAAATCTAGAATCAGATGCCACTCATTTGAGAATGTTTAAAAATACATCAGGTGATCTCATTAGCTAAAAAATATCAAACTTAGATCAATCAATAATTCAAGAAAACAACACTGAGAAGCACAAACCCTAAATTTGCTAACCATAACTGACCTAGTTCATAAGATCAAGCAATTCCTAAAAAAATTATTTTTTATTTTTTGTTTAGGCAAAAGGAAAGAAATGAAAAAAAAAAATCCATTAAAACAAAACAACTGAAGTGCAGTAAAATTAGTCAGAATTTCATAAAAAGTAGTGGGTTGTGCAGTTAGAAACACACATAAATTTATAAGAATAACGATACATTCTCTAAATCGATGAGCTCTAATGACATGAAAGTAAAAAAAAAAAAAACCACAAACATCTCTATTACAATGGAACCCACACTCCATTAGGACTATTTAGAAATCCTTCATTTTTTAATTTATAAATACACACCAAGAGAGAGAGAAAGAAAAGAAGATCGGTTTTTTTGTTTTGAAAACTGATTAGCAGTCCCAATAAAAAAAACAGGAAACAAAATTACACAGATTGTAAGCTCCAATGAACCCAATTTTAAACCCAGATGATGAAACTAAAAATATATCACTGTATTCATGAATGTATGTATTAATGAAATGAAGAAGAACAGAGAGAGAAGGGAAAAAAAATATCAAACCCAAATGCACCAATCAAACCCAAGAATGTTATAAACAACCCTAAAAATGTATGTATTCATGAAATGAAGGAGAAGAACAGAGAGAGAAGGGGAAAAAATATCAAACCCAAATCACACCAATCAAACCCAAATCACACCGATTTGATGATTCACATGCGGCAGATCCATCAGTTTGGGCACAGGAGGGGGAGGCAGCGATCTTCTTTGAGGATGAAGCGATCGTGAGAAGCACAGGTGATGAAGGATTGGACGAAACCAATGCCAAAAAAACCGAGGAGGTAGATGAAGGAAGCGATGAGGGAGGCGATGGCAGCGAGTTCGGAGAGAGTGACGACGTGGAGAGGGGTGGAGGATCGGATCTGATAGCGCTGACAATGGAGGAGGTAGTAAGCCAGGTATAGAGGGAGAGGTAAGGCAGCTTTTGGGATGAGGAGGGGGATGAGAGAGAATGTGTAGAGCAGATGTGTTTAGCTAGACGTGGGAGAGAGAGCAAGAGTTGTTTGGGCGGGAGATCTGTTGATCTGAATCATTGATATTTTTTTGGGATTAATCTCAGCCATTAAATTAAAATGTATCTCACACACATTTTATACATTTTTGAAAACCCTCCTCCCTTATTATATAGATATATATGTTTGCAACCATAGATAAGATAACTAAGAGTGACTGTTTGATTATAGTTGCAAATGGTCTTAATTGATTAATTATCATATATATACTAGTCAAGACAGTAAGCAACAGATTGTATGTATATATATATATGTATGTATCATATATATATACATCTATCAACTCCACTCCACTCTGTTTGTTTACCCAGAAAATCAAATTTGCCAAACTTAGTGCTTTTGTTTTGCTGAATTTGTTTTCGTACTCGCCGGAAAATACCCAACACCAGTACCAGCATCACAAAGGAGAATATCCAGTAGACAGGTCAAAAAAATCAACTCATCTGAAGATAAACAGACGTAGGGTATTTTGGTCCAAGAAATTGATAAAATGCGCAGGTATTTTGGTTAGGGACCTGAGGCAGTATTACATTTTTTAATGTCCTTTATGCAGAAAATTGTTATTATTAAGGAGCTTAAAAAAAAAACCCCCTATATTCTATTAATAATTCATATTTGAATTATGAATTTTTGATTAGTAAATATCAAATTACAAGTGTAAAATTTTTTAAATGTGTAAACTAAGAAAAATTAGTTGTGTAAATAGAAACCAACCAGATATTTCTCATTCTAATATACATTTGCAAAAAGCATTGATAAAAACCAAACACAAAATACATACATAATTAGAATTCATTTGGTAACACCATAAATAAGCTATTTATTGACTTATTTGGATCATATTATCTCTCTCTATTTTTTTATACGTTTATTCATGATAAATAAAAAAGTCAATTTACAAGTCATACCTCAAACAATCCTAAAACTTAACAAAATTATTAATGCAATTTAGGGGTTGTTTCAGAATGTGCAATTATTTGATAAGCTCATTTATTTGGATCATATCACATTTTTACTTGTTTGTACATCTTTTTATAAAAAAGTCAAAAAAATATATTAAAAATTTATCCATTCAATTTTGTATTTGATTGTACGATTTTGTAAGCTTAGGCTCATTTGGTAATTTGGATTTTTGATTAAAATAATTAAAAAGTTTTAAAAAAAGTTATAAAGTCAAAATTTTATTAAAAAAGTTATAAAATAAAAAAAATAATCAAACATCTTAGTAATTTATGATACAATTAAAAAAAATTATTATTTTTTTCATCTTATAAAAAGGTTAAAAAATTATTAAAAAAATCAATTTCCCAAACCAACTTTATTCTAAGATTTGTTTTATTTGGAGTAGAGTTATAAATGAACAGAACTGTTCGTGAACAGACTTGAACTCAGTTCAATAAAAACTTGTTCGAATTCGACTCATTAAATTTTTATTGAAATTTGAACTCGTTAAAATCTCAATAAATAAGTTTAAACATATTAAAGTTCTGCTTGTTATCTCAACTAATTTAAAATTTATCTAGGTAATAGAACAAATATAGTATTTATGTATTAAATAATGTAAAAATATGTATAATAAATAAGATAAATATGTTATTTATATATTTAAATAATATAAACAATAGCTCAAGAACAGCAAGTCCAGCCACCTTCTTCTGATCAAATGAATAGATTTAAGCTTAGTCTAAAGTCAATTCGACTCAAGCTTAATTTATCAGGGGTTCGTTTGTGAAAAACGTTTTTAGTTTGACTTTTTGACTAATTTGAGAAGACTTTTGTGACTTTTTTTTTTTGGTGAGAAAAAAGTAAAATAATTATGATTTGAATGTAACATTTTATATTATTGACTTATTTAACATATTTTATTGTTTTATATTTTTTAATCTTAATCCAAACCCAATCCACTTGCCAAACGGTAGCTAAAGTTTTGTTGAGCTAGAATTCGAACTCAAATTCGTTAAAATCTAAATAAACAAATTCAAACATAGACCTATTTTGGCAATTAAGAAAAACCAACTTATTGCATTTGTGGCTTATTTGAGTCACACCACCTCTTTACATTTTTACATATTTTCTCAAAATAAAATAAAATAATAAGCCATAAAAAAAATAGAGACTTGTGTGTAGGCCCTAATAGGTGGACTTCTTGTCCAATAAATCCTGTGAGGATTAATGGTATTTTTCATCAAATACTATTAAAAATAGTTATTAATTGTTAATTTTCAGTTATAATTTAAAAATTTTGTTATAAAAAATGTCACTAGGCCTCGTTTGGGAATATGCTTTTTTAGTAACTTTTTAACTAAAATGTGATGTAAAAAAAACTAGCATGTTTGGGATGACTTTTTGACATTTTACGAAAAAGATGTGCAAAAAGTAGAGAGAAAATGATATCTTTGACTTTTTTGTATGAGTTGTTGGCTTTTTGATTTTTTTAGTAACTTTTTTGACTTTTTGACTAAAAGGGGCACTTGCTAAACGAGACCTAATTATAAGTTTTAGCGATAGTTTTAAAAAATCGTAACAAAAAAATCATTAATTTTTAACTAACAACAACAGTTTGAAAAATTCATCATAAAAAGTCACTAATTGTAAATTTTATCGACAACTTATAAAAATAGTGACAAAAAAGTCACTAATTATCAATTTTTAATAACATATACAAAAAACTGTCACAAAAAATTATTTTTAATTACAATTTTATTTTCAACAGTACTTAGGTCTCGTTTGGAAATATATTTTTTTAGTAATTTTTTAACTTTTTAATTAAAATATGATATAAAAAAATAAGTATGTTTGAAATGTTTTTTTAATTTTTTACAAAAGAAATATGTAAAAAATAAAAGATAACAATCTTTAATTTTTGGGCAAATTACCTATACCCTTCGAGGGTTAGCAAAATTAAAAATATCTCCTGAAGTTTTAGAAATTACAGATATCCCCTGAAGGTAATATTTTCATAACAAATTAAGAAGTAATTTGTTATGAAAATAAATTTCAGAGAATATCTGTAATTTCTGAAACTTTAAAAAGACATTTGTAATTTAATTAAATCTCGAGAGAAGTATATGTAATTTATCATTAAATTTTTAATATAAATAAATGATTTTTTTATTATTTTTAATGATTTTTTTTACTTTTTAAACTATAAACGAGGTGTTAATAAATTCAACTATTAACACATACTGATAGTTTACCAAAAAAACGAAACGCTACCCAAAATAGGCTAGAATCCTAGGCTCTCCAGGCTCTCCAATATTTCGGGTAAGATCGAGGGACACTTGTCAGCTCACTGCTCTGTCTCTGTCTCTCTCTCTCTCTAAAACCTCCTTCATCATCAACAACCCTAATCATTAATCATCTCTCCTCCAAAAAAAACCAAACTACAAAAAAAAAAAAAAAAAATGCTGAGATTAGCCTCGAAGAGACTCCTAGGGTTAGGGTTTGGGGAGGCCCTATCATCATCTTCAGCAGCGAAGCTCCTCCTTCCGCGACTCTACCATGAAAGGGTCGTCGATCACTACAACAACCCTCGCAACGTTGGATCATTCGACAAGAACGATCCCACGGTCGGAACCGGCCTTGTTGGTGCACCGGCTTGTGGCGATGTGATGAAGCTTCAGATCAAGGTCGATGACCAGACTGGGAAGATTGTCGATGCTTGCTTCAAGACCTTCGGTTGTGGATCTGCTATTGCTTCTTCTTCCGTAGGTTGGTTTTCCTTGGAAAAATTTGGGGATTACTGCTCATATCAATTGCTTTTTGGGAAACAAGTTGGGTTTTTTGTGTTGTTTATTTTTACTTGATTTGGCTGCTTAATTTGATTGAGAAAGGTGATGGATTTTGGGGGGTTTCAATAATTTTTCGTCAATTTGATGAAACTTTTCTTATTTTTATTAATTTATTTTTTCTTTTTTCGAGTTTCTTTTCTTATTTTTGGGCATGTGTTCTAGTGTAGTTTGATTAAGTCTGGATGGTTGGTAATTTTTAGGGCTAAAGTTGGGGGAATCTTCTATGTCTTGAAACAATTGTGGGGATTTTTGAATTGTGGAATGGGTTGTTTTAATTTTATGTTATCGTTTTGAAGGAAGGTTGATTGGGCTGCTGAATTTGACTACGAAAGGTGATGGAATTTGGGGGTTGTCGAAAATTTTTGCGTGAATTTTATGGGAAACTTCTCTTCTTTGGAGTTTCTTTTCTTACTTTTGGGAATGTGTAATATTATTGTTCGATTATGTTTGGATGGTTGTTTATCTTTTTTGGATATTGTACCAAGATTGGTTTGCATAGGCAACATTATTAAATTCAAGTAATTTAGGATAAATATAGTTTGAATTGAGAAACTGATCTCAAGTTGCAATAATGTAAAAGTAGAACGGAGAAGAAGTAATTCAAATTCACGGTTCAGTTGACCATCATTGTAAGCATGTGCATTCAAAAGTTGCAATGATAATAACATTAACTCTTGGTTTTCTGATTTCAGCTACTGAATGGGTAAAGGGGAGGCAGATGGAAGAAGTTGTAACTATTAAGAATACGTGAGTTTTATTCCCTTTCTAATTCTAACACACGCCACCCACCCAATGACACAATTTTTTTCCTAGGCATGTATTACCTAGTTTCTTATCTTGTGCACATTTTGGTTATATTATTTTGATGGGGGTGCTTCTTAGTAGATTTTATATGCTTGTAAGATTCAAACTAGCTTTTGATTTTGACCAGTTTTATGTAATTGTATCTTGTTCTCAGCTTTGTGTTGGCAAAGATGTGAAGTTATATACGATAATATAATTGTTTATTTGATGAAATACTAATGTATTTGCTGGCTCATGTGCAAATTTGGCTACTGTTCCCATTGTTATATCTTTGGCTAAATTTCTTCATGTAGCAACTAAATCCATGATGCTATTTCATTTTCATGGTAGCAATGCTGGACTTCACAGCATGCATATTTAGCTCTATGCACCACAACACGAGAATGTTTATAGACTTTTGAAGAACAGCTAGGTAAAAAACCCATATTATGTCATTAATTATTCCCTTGAAGTAATTATATGTTAACCTTAGGAGAATTTCTGGATAACTAAGCAGGGATAAATTGAACATGAGACAGCATTGTCCGATAAGAAAGATACTAAATTGTATGTTACTGAGGTCCTGATCATTTTCATCTTGCAACAAACAAGTCTTGGAACATGGGCAATCCCTACCCCCACCCCAGATCACCGAGGGAAAAAAAAAAAAGAAAGATGCATCAAAATAGGTGATAGGTATAATACCTTTCTTGAGGTGTTTAGGTCTTAGTTGCAAGAATCGTGCAACCAGGTGATGAATCTTCGTAAGATACGCGATTTCACGTTTCTTAGAAAGAAACGTGCAAGAATCGCATTTCTATAGAGAGAGAAACGCAACCCTGTCCAAGATGGGATTGTTGGTGGTAATAAAACAACTCATAAACAACTTAGAAACCTTGACAGAGAGAAGCCCTAACCCATTGAAGACCGAGAAAGAGAAAACAGACAGAAACCAGACAAAAACCCTAACCCATTGAAGAAAGAGAAATGGAAAGGGAAAGGGAAAGGGAAAGGGAAAGGGGAAAAACTTGTTGAAGCCCTAATTGAGGCTAGATCAAGGTATGTTCTTCCAACCTGCGTGTGTTCGACTCTCTCTCTCTCTCTCTCCCTCTGTTTGATGCTCTTCGTCGTCGTCTCCTTCGTATCTCTCTCTCTGTCTCTCTCTTTGTGTTTGTCTCCTCTCTCTGTGTCGTCTTCTCTCTCTCTCTCTCTTCGTCTCTCTTATTCGACTCCTCTCTCTCCCTTCTTTGTTGCTGTCTCTCTCTCCCTCTTTTATTCTTTATTTTATTTTATTTTTACCTTTTTTTGTTTTTAGTAATAAAAAAAAACATTTTTTTCCATCTTTTATTTTTTATTTTTTTATAAACATTAACATATAAAATAAATTATTTTTATTTGTAGAAAAAAATTGAAAATAATATTTAATATTAAAGTAAAAAATAAATAATATAAATAAATAAAAATAATATATATTTTTAATTTTACATATAATAAATAAAAATATATATTTTAAAAATCAAATCGAACCAAACTAAACATATTTTTTTATTCAAAAGTATTTGAAAAGTCATTTACAATTTTTTTTCTTCAAAATAACCAGACCAAACACATTTTTTTGAAAATTTCTTTGAAAACAAATACATGTTGAATTTTTGAATTAATTTTATTTATATATACGTAATATATATATAGGCGCTCCCAGAGGCGCTCCCAACTTACGAAACTTCTATCGGCTCACGCTCCCCCGCTCCCACTCCCGCCTCCATCCCCGCTTCGTGCAACTAAGGTCTAGGTGTTTGCTCAATGTTCCTCTCTCTGTAAGACCGGTCAAGGAGGGGCTACTCCCTAAGGTGGAGTGAGCAAGGCAAAATTAACAAGTCGTTGATTTTCGCATTTAAGCCACAATCCTCCAACAATCTTGAGCAGTGGGAACATAGGCTCTTCTCCCAAACTGTGATGTCAAAGTGATGTCATCAACAGATAGTATATAGAAGTCTCTGCTTGGGGTTGAAACTGAGACATAGGGAACACATGGTCAAGCTAAGAGTTGGACCATGTCAAGTGGGTAATCTTGGCTACTCCCTGGGCGCCCTATCAGAATGAGTGCATGAAGGGCAATGGACACACATACATAGGAAATAATATTCATCTAGATTTCGTTGAGGAACTCAATATTATAGTGATGGTTTTGTTCAACTTTTGTGTTATAGGTTAAAGGAGCACTTCTAAATTCTGATTCCCCCACCCTCGCCCCCACCCCCACCATTTTACAAAGACACTGTTGTAGATTGCAAATTTGTTACTCCACACCAGTTTTTATTTATGCAAAGAGTAGAAGTCTCTTTAGACAATCTTAAATTCCTTTTTTCATTGACTATTTTCTTTTTTGAAAAACCTATCTCATCCTCTGTTCCAGTCATGTTTTGTGAAATTTCATGTACGTGTGCATACTGTTTCAACAATTTTATCTTTCAAAGCTTGCAACCAGAGGATGCTTCTTCACAAGAGTGTAGGCAGATTTCTGTTTCCTAAAATGTAGTGTTATTCGGTGATATAATGCAGGGAAATTGCAAAACATCTTTCTCTCCCACCAGTTAAGCTGCACTGCAGCATGCTTGCTGAGGATGCAATAAAGGCTGCTGTCAAAGATTATGAAGCGAAGCATGCAAAATCAGGTGCCAGTTCAGAGGCTGCACCTGCTGAGAAAGCAACCAATGCTTGAGATGATTATGAAAAAAAAGGGGGGATTTCTTTAGAAGCTTCTGTCTTTTGATGTCGACACCTTGTGGTTATATTGTAATAAAGCATCTTACATATAATTGCTTTAGAAGATTAGTATTTTTTCTTCTTTTTTGTTTTGTTTTATTTTGTTCTGTTCTTTCCTTTAATTCCTGGATGTAATTTGCCACTCTAAAACAACTTTCCTTTGTAGTGTAAACTAGCTATTATAGATCAGAGACAAGTTTATTATCGGATATTCGTAGTTGTGTTACTGGCTTCTTTTGGGAAGGGATTCAGGTGAGCAAGAAGTCTACGTCTTTAATTGTTGCATGTACCATATCAGATAAACAAGAAATGGAGAAATTAATTGTAAAATAATATAGAGCAAGTGAGATATCTGTCCTGATGCAAGTAAGAATTGTGCTCTGGAGCATAGATTTTACTTTGTAATTTCTTGATTTGCAATTAAATTTTTTCATTTATTTGTTGTTCCCTTCTTTAGTTTGTTTTAATTTCAGTGATATGTAAGCTAATGGTCATGCCATATTGTGAGCAAGGCTTTTGGTATATGAAAATTACGATGGCGGTTAAGAAGTGAATATGTTCTATTGTATTTGATTGAGTTCAATATCTCTTGATTTTTGCTTATGTGGAGAGCAAGATGATATGAACCTTTGAACTTCCTACAAGATAGCACAATTGTGAGGGCTGCGCAACTGATGGTGCTTGGCCAAAAGAGTACTCCGATGGTCAAGTTAGTGTTTCCTTTTCTAGAATGAAGGACTGGAATTGTGTGTGTATATTTTTGTGGATGTTCTTTCATACCTCAGTTATACTTTGTGGGTACCTTTTTATATTGTTGAGGGTTTGTTTGGGATGTGGGTTAATTTTTTGACTTTTTGACTCTTTTAGTCTGTGATTAAAAAGTCTCGTTTGGGATAAATTTTTTGATTTTTTTGACTTTTGTGAAAAAAAAAATAATTATGAGTTGAATGTGATGTTTTGTCATATTGGGTTAAAAAGTCTATTTTGTCTTTTTATGACTAAAATAGTCAAAAAAAATTGAAACACCTGGCATGCCAAAAAAATTTGTTTCCATGTGTGATATCATTCGATTTTATGGCTTAGTTGTTATGTTGGCACTATTATGTGATCTTGTTGTGCAACTCTGCTTCATCGCCAATCAGGTCAATCAATTTGATCAACAATGTGTCTTTTTCCTGTTGATCTTGTGTCCTTTGTTTATTGTTTTATACAATTCATCGGGGAAGTGGTCTTTCTATCCCGACGAGCCAATGAGGTCATGTGGCATGCCTTTTCTTGTTTTATACAATTCATTGGCGAAGTGGTCTTTCTATACCGACGAGACAATGAGCTCATGTGGCATGCCTTTTTTGATATGAGATCTATCATGGGTCGCATATTTGAACATATGAAATTATCTAAATACCTTCTACTTTTTCTCTTTTCTTTTTTGTACGCTGATGCTTTAGCCACACGAACAATTCTTAACACCAATATCTCAACTATTTTCATTATAATGCCATCATCAATCTCGACTATCTTCATCCATCATCGAGTAACTTGATTTTTTTTTATAATGTATTTAAATTTATTGAGCTAAGTAATAGATTATTTAAACTTGACTTATTAATCTAATAAATTATTTTCAAATTAATTTTTAACAAATCAAACAAGAGTCAAACTCAAGTAATTTGGTGACCAAATTGGAGTTTAGTGGTAAAGCAAAATGACTTATAGTATCATCGGCTAGTAAGAGAAGTAAATGAGAGAGTGAAAAACAATTACGGATGAAATAAACATATTATTTGAATATGTTAATTGATCTAAGTGTAACAACCCTCGTCACTGTGTACCGAATAACCACTGATTACCGTTAAACTGAAACTAATTATGAATGATAAGTGAACTGAATAAACTACTGAACTGACTGACCGAAATTGAACCTGAATTGACTGAGTATACCTGTTTAATTGTAATTCTATCTATTTGGTTATTTGATTATCTGTTCGTGTTTTTATGGTTAAATTGAGAATTGAATGCCTTATCGGCGGCTGAACCGGAAATCGATTGGTGTTTTATGATCATCGTGATTTATGTGATTTTATAGCATATTTATCTGAAAATTGATTTGGTATGATTAAATTGGATTAATATGAGTTAAAATGCATCAACTTGAGTTATTTGCCAAAATGCCATTGAGTGGCCATTTCCTACATTGTTATTTGGACTTAATTGTGAGATCATTTCACCCACTTCCTCAAAACATAACCGAGAGAGAGAGAATAAGGAGAAAGCTTGATTTCATCTTGAGTTTTGCTTGGTAATTGAAGTAATTGAAGAGTTCTTTGCAAAATTGAGCTTGTATATCTTGAACTACAAGACCTAAGGTAGATTCATTGCCTCTTGTGTATGTTTTGAATTGATTCTTGCATGGTTTTGAGCAAGCTGAAGTCTAGAGCCAAGTTATGGCTCTTAATTGTTGAATCATGGCTTCATTTCATGCATGCATGTCTGAAATGTTGAATTTTGAGTTGATTCCATGGAGAATTGTCACTTGCATGCTCATGGTTATGTTAAGTCCATGTTTTCATCTTGTTTTTGGAACAATTGGCTCCTTAGAGCATCAAATTGAAGCTTTGAAATGGTTTTAATCCATGCATGTTTGCATGTTCTTCATATTCATGAAATTTTGTTTGAATTGGATTTATTTGAAACACCCTTGGGCTTTGATTTTACAAATTGAGCTTTGCATCATGTTAAAGTATGAGTTTTGATGTGTTTTCTGGAAAATTGGCCCAGGAGGATCGAAATTTATGGTTTAAAACTTGGTTTTGAGCTTGAGGTTCAAATCTGGAAATTCCAGAATTTGGACTCACGCTCGGGCGTGGAAATCGTGCTCCCAGCATTTTGTTCTGTTTTGAAGTCCACTCGAGCGGAATAATTGACGCTCGAGCGGGACATAGTGTCTCATGCTCGAGCGGGTGTCGAGCGCCCAATCGAGCGTGATTTTCGTCTATCCAGCACTTTTGACTGTTTTGCAGAACGCTCGAGTGGGTAATGATACGCTTGAGCGGAAACATTTGTCTGCATGTCCGCTCGAGCAGAGTAACCTACGCTCGAGCGTGACCCCTGTTTTCTGAGAAGACTGAAAATGCTTTTTCAAGTGCATCTTTGCATCCTCATCTCATTCTAGACATTCTTAGGCCTAGTTTAAAACATCTTATTGAGGATACAGATGTAGAACCACACCGAGGCAAATTAGGGATTAAGTTGTTATCTTTCCCAACTGTGTAGCTTAGTGTGTGTTCAATCTGTAACTGTGTAGGGTTGGCGACTGGGGACGCGCTCTAGCTTTACTGTAGCCCAGAACTCTGTGAGTAACAACTGTGTAAAGATATGTTCAAAATGATTATCTTCTGAACAATTGAACTGTACTGCTTTCTGAACTGATACTGTTAATTGAATGAATGTATGTCCTATATTCTGAACTGTATTGTGGCATCCTTAGCACCTACTGTTTACTGTTACTGTTACAGAGATCTCTGTCTGTTCCCTCGTTGGAACCACTACTGTTACTGATTGATGGCCATCATTTACTGCTCGGTCTTTTAAGACCTACTGTTTATTGTACTGTTATGCTAATAGATGTACCACATATGACTGTATCGACTGAACGACTGAAATACTGATTTAATGAACTGTTTTCATTACTATAAGGACATTCATTCTTAACCCCTTTATGCATTGTGTTATTCGCTGGGGTTTAGCTCACTGCTCATATATATATGTAGGTGTACAGGTACCAGACCGCAGCTAGAAGCGTTGAGGTAAACTCCAGTTTTGTCAAGCCAACCTATGTGCCTCAATGCGAGGTTTCGAGCCTGTCAAGTTGTGGCTTAGGGGTGTTTTAGCTTCCCCTTCCGTCTCTGTAACCGTTTTGCTTACTATACTATACTGTATTGTACTGTTTAATAGGAATTAGGTCCCTGACTGAATGATTGTATATATGTACATACTGTTTTGTCTGACTGTATATATTTGAATGAAAAGTCTTTTTGCATACAGACTGTCACAGCTCATTGGACATTGTTTATTTACTGTATTGGCTTCTGTCAGCCCCTGTACTCTGTATTACTGTATTACTGTTAAGCAAGTCTTCGGTAATCTCGGATTATTGGCCGGTTACGATGCTAAACCCATAGGGGCGAGTTTGGGTCGTGACACTAAGGCTCTCCTTATTTTCAGTGATAGGATATATGAAATTGCTAGTGAGATGATTAAATAAAATTGTGTTTGTTTTTATAATAATTGTTAGTGTAGGGGTTATTAATTTTTTTTTTATATATAAAATAATGACAGACCATGATTTTTCAAAATTGCCTATATTTTTTCATTAGGAACCATGTTTTTTACTTTAGAAAAAAGAAAAAGAAAAAGAGTACACTTGGTCGGATGTCCAGTTGCCTTCTATTCTTAATAGATTATTTTTGAATACTATCTTCTCACCTAAATTGTTTAAGACTCTTTGCCTCCGTTTGGGAAGTGAGTTGACTTTTTGATTTTTTGGCTTTTTTAACTATTTTAGCCTGGGCTTAAAAGCTTGGTTTGGGAAGGGTTTTTTGGCTTTTTGGCTTTTTTGAATTTTTTTGTAAGAGAATAATGTAATGATTATGGGTTGGATGTGATGTTTTGTTTGTTATGGCTAAAATAGCCTATTTTGTTTTTTATGGCTAAAATAGCTAAAAAAACCTGCAAACCCACTTGCCAAACACAGACTTTATAATCCAAACGGACTTTCAACCCGAATTTCTATTTTGCAAACAAACTTATCATTAGTGTTGATGACTGGACTAACAGTCCAATTCAGAAGTCTATCTCAGATAACAAACGAGGCCTAATAGTTGATTAATGGAGTGCAAATTATGAAAGTGGTCGAAAAGTGGAAGTGGCTATAAAGATGCTCTAATGCAATTAAGGCTTCGTTTGGGAAGAAGGGTTGGGTTGGGTTGGGTTGGGTTTGAGACTATTTTAGTCATAAATAGACAAAATAGATTTTTTAATCTAATAAGATAAAATATCACATTAAACTTATAATTATTACATTCTTTCTCTTATAAAAGGTTAAAAAAGTCAAAAAAATCTTTCCAAATGAGATTTTTTAGCCCCAGGCTAAAATAGTCAAAAAATTAATCTGTTTTCAAATGAGATTTTTTAGCTCCAGACTAAAATAATTAAAAAGTCAAAAAGTTAACCCATTTTTCAAATGAACCTAATACATAAAATATTATAATGTATATTTAGAATTTCACATGGTGAAATTTTAGCTTAAGATCCCGTTTGTTTTCAGATGTAGAATGGAAATGATTGATAGTGAGGGGATTAATAGTGAGGGGACTAAGTAAAATTGTGTTTATTTTGATGATAATTGTTAGTGTAGGGATTGCTACATTGTTTTTATATAAAATAAATATAAAATAATAAAACAAATAAAAAAAATATAAAAATATTAAATATTAATGTTTTAAAAAAAATGGTCAACATGTAAAAAAATTTTAAAAAATAAAATAAAATAAAATAATTTCAAAAAAAAATAAAATAAAATAAAATAATGATTTTTACTTAACAAAAAATATAAAAAATTAAGCATTAATATTTAAAAAAAATTGCCTGACATGTAAAAAATAAAATAAAAAATAAATAAAACTAAAAAATTTATAGTTCGCCGAATTATTTTTCTAATACCAAGTTTTGGAAGCCCATCCGAATCTCCTCGCCAAGGAGATTTATAATCTGAAGCTCACTATCAATCCCCTCCCCATCTCTCAAAACAAACACAATGTTAATAAAAAAATCAGAAAACCCCCAAAACGACGTCGTTTTGGGGGGCTGCCGGGAACGGCCGCCGAGAAGGGCGGCCGACGATCCTGATTCATCCGAATCCCCTTGAGGAGGCCTATCATAATCCGGAGTTCACTATTAATCCCCTCTCTATTTCTCAAAATAAACACAATATTAATGAGTCTCACCTCATTACCAATCTCAATCTCACCTCTATCTTTCCAAACAAACGAGCCTAAGGGCGTACTTATAATTTAAAAAAAAAACATTAAAATCATGAGATCAGAAAAACTTGTCTTCTTCTTAATAAAAACTCTGATTATTGATTTTTGAGTTTTGTTTGGTCAGTTAAACCCACAACTCTCCAACACTCTCTCTCACCTAAGCTTCTCTCACTCGTTACCCATTTCTGTACTCGCATCTTCTCTCTCCTCCCCTCAACGTAACTACACGCACACCCTCTGCGACTCTCTCTCTCTAATTCTCACTCACTCACTCACCACCATATATAGAAATCAACAACAGTACAAACTCCAAAGCACAAAATCGTCGTCATCTCCTCATGGGTGTTCCCTCAAAACCCGCCTCAGTGTCCATCAATTCTCACCAACCGAACCCAGTTCGTTCCAATTGCGTTTCCAAGGCATTTCCCTAAATTTTTCATGCCATTGTTGTTGGTTTTTTGCTAGATTTAGTTCAACCAATCTCTACTAGAGATAAGATTAGCACAATTCTTTATATTTGTTTTTGCTTAATTTCAAATTTGGGGTTGATCTTAACTTGTGGGTATTTTTAATTTTGTAATTGGGGTTATTCCAATGTAAATGTTCCACCAAACTTCATTCAATTTCAATGAAAATTTATCTGGGTCTTTTTGGGTCTCCATCGTTTTCAAGAACACCCTAATTTGGTTTTTTATTTTTATAAATATATTTATATGTGTCTGTGTGTTTATTTATATGGTTTTTGGTTGGTTGTTCTTGATTATTTAATTGTAAAAACTGTGTTGGTTTTTTGACTGGATACAGGACAATTTGGACTTTTGACTTGACACAAATAATTTTGGGTGGGGGGTAGGCTGCTGAGGGAGAGGGTTTTGTGAGTAATGGCGGGTCTAACAGCGGACCACCAACCAATTGAAATTGAGGATATAAATGAAGAAACCAATAACAAGTTCAAGAAGGATATTGTAGACAGAGAAAGTGGAGGAGAGAGAGAGATGGCACCGCCTGCCGGAAGTTCTTCGATCCACCGGACGAGTTCTCGGCCACTTTTGGACCTTAGCAAGGCTGCCATTCAAGGCAACTTTGAGGAGAAAGACCCAACAATTCTTTTGCCTAATCAATCTGATGATTTATCTCATTTGGCCTTGGACATTGGAGGTGAATTCAAGCTTTTGTTTTGTCACTGCTATTTTGTTGATTTTGTGGTTTGGTTGTGTTATTGTTTAATGGGATTGCTTTCTCTCCTTTCCAATTTGAAAAGATGAGGCTGGTGGATTTGTTGATTTGTTTCTTCATTTATTGCTTGCAAATTCAGCTTGTTAACATTGCTCATCATGCCTTTGTTCTGATTTTTTTTTTTATTAAAAAAAAAAAAATAAAAAAATCTTTATGTGGGTTTGACTTTGTGCAATTGTGTATTTATCTCCTTTAATTGATTCTTTTGTATACTTTCTTACCATATGTTAGGGCTTTGGGGAGGTGGAGTTTTGGAAAAATGTTGATGTGTGTGTGTGTGTGTGTGGGTGGGTGGGTGGATGGTTTTGTTGGACATTGCTATAAGTTTCTCAAATTGGGTTTCTTTTGGTCCAACTCACTGCCTCTTACTTCTCCTTCTGATATGAAAATGAACATTCTTCTTAATATCCTTTGTGCCCAACTTGTGACAAATCGTTGCAACTTATGTTTGTTTCTAGGAGCAAGACTAAAAAACTAGACTAATTTCTTTCCAGTTTAGTTTTTCTTGAACCTTTTAGTAATTGGTTAACTTATTGGTGATCATTTGGAAGGACTCATTACCCTGTTGAATTCCTTGTAGTATTGTTTCTGCTATATTATATTTTGGCAATTACATTTTGATAAATATCTACATAGCTTCTACAATGACATTCAGAGTGGCATGATATTATTGAAGCCTTATTGAAGGGCAATGGATGTTACTTCCATTGATGGACAAGGCTCTCGCCATTAATAATAACAATTTTCCGAAGCTATTTGCATCACTCTAGCTGGTTTGATGTCTTTGTAGGTTGCTAGTAATGATATGTAGTCAACTGGTAGTGATTACTTTTCTTATCTCCCAATTATGACTATACATTGTAATATCAAAATTCTGAGTTTAGTCTAGTTTCTCCGCTGTTGCAACTTTGTAATCATCACATTATGGTAGTCATTATCATCAATTTTCGTCATGTGCTTGTAGCTAAGATTTATGATTTTGAACTTAGATTGCCATTTTGGAGCTTGACCTTTTTGGAAGACTTGGAAGTATCTCGAGCTATCTAATGTTTGTGATTGTCAATGGTTTATCAGGATCTCTTATCAAGTTGGTATATTTTTCAAGACATGAGGACCGATCAGTCAATGACAGGAGAAAGAAGTCTCTCAAGGAAAAATTTGGCGTTTCTAATAGTAATAGGAGGAGCTACCCTATTCTTGGAGGAAGGCTGCATTTTGTAAAGTTTGAGACAGCCAAGATTAACGAGTGCTTAGATTTTATCTCTTCAAAGCAGCTTCACCGTGGTGGTATATGCCTTTTCCCTGGTTGACTTTCTTTGTTATATTTCCTTGTTCTTCATTGAGCACAGTGCACCATATTGTCAGATTATACTAATGCCTTTCCATGGTATTTTTAGTTAAAATAACGCCTTTGTTGAGTTGAGAATTGTTTCACAATGCCACACAAATTTGTTCTTGTTACATTTGATTCTAATTTGGTCATGTAATGGATAGGGATGGATGCTAGCCATTGGAATTCTGATGACCCAAACAATGACAATGCAGTAATTAAGGTAAATTTTGTCTTGCATTGTCTTATACAGGAGATAAATTGGGTAGATATATTTTAGTTAAATTGATTTGTATTAAAAAAAAGTGGATAGTATGTTTGAAAATATAATTCATTGAGCAATAGAAACTGAAAAGAACGCATCTTTCATATCAACTGGTTATGAATAAAACTTGTGTGGAAGTATGCTTAATAAATCTTGATTAGTATCATTCATATTGATGATTGAGAGGGAACCAGAGGATACACTGTTCTTAATTTACTGGGCCCACCCATCAAATCAGCCACTAGGCACTACCTAAGAAGGATAGATACTTCTAAGAAATTGCACCATAAAAAATGAAGAAATTGGTATTATTTAATTTATTTTCATGTATATATTTTAAAAATATATATATACTTTTTGTTCTGTTCCCTGTCATGTTATGTCTTGATTGTTTGAAAATTTCCATGTCAACGCGTTCGTATCACGTCATATCCATGTTTTTTTTTTTGTAGGCAACTTAAAATTTTATTCCACACAAAACACAAAGAACACAAGAAACAAGGGCCAACCCCTGAACACTAGAAACAAAAAACATAGATCAACACTAAAACAAAAGAAATCTAGAAAATCTATTTATCAGGCCTATAGAATGGAACAAGGCAAGGCAGCCCCCAGTCCATACAAATTTGCCGATTTTGCAAAGAATTCTTAACTCTCTTGAAAGAACAAGCTCTAGCTCTAACTTCCTTGACCATTCCAGCCACTATCACTTCCTTGTGACTAACAGATTGAGTAAAAATTCTCTTATTTCTTTCCAACCATACATGATAAAAAGTGCAAGCCAAGGAAAGTTTGAACATAGTATTACTCAAATTGCTGGCAGTGCAATAGTATATAGCCCATTGAATATCCCCAGACCAACCCAAAGGATCTCTAGCAATATGATTCAACCTAAGCATCTTTGCCCATATGCTCACAGTAAAAGGACAAGAGAAGGACAAATGTTCATGAGATTCATTTACAGTTCTGCACAAACTGCACACAGGGTCCACCTCCATACCCCAATTCAATAATCTGTCCTCGGTAGCTAATTTTTGTTAGCAAATCAGCCAATGCGCAAAAGCCCATTTAGGCACATTTCCTTTAAACCAAATGATAGAACACCATGGGACCACTGCGCTAGATGGCCTCAGAGCTTCCCAGGCAGATTTAGAGGAGTAGCTACCACTCTTTGAAGGCAACCAAACAGCTTCATCAGATCTGTTCAGATTAGGAAGGAGCGTATGAAGGGTTAAAGCAATAACTTGTTGAATTACTCTATTTCTTAATCTAGGCCAATGCCATCCATCAGCTGCTATAATACTTGAAACCTTTGCTTAAAGAGCTCTGCCAATATTCTGTACAATTCTACTTCCAAAATGTTGATAAGGCCCCACTAGATGCCAGTTATCAAGCCATAAGAAGGTAGATCTGCCATCCCCTATTCTGTAATGAATAAGGGGCTGCCGAATGTCTCTAAGCTGGAATATCTTCCTTGTAGTCCAAGAGGAATCATTTGGTGCTTCAATAAACCAAAAGCATTGATCTGTTAAAATATAGGTATCTATCCATTTAACCCAAAGTGAATTAGCCTTCATAGTTATAGCCCAAAGGTGTTTAAGCATACTGGCTTTATTCCAAATTTTCAGAGCTTCCTGTTTAGGAACACAATTACTCTCCCACTTAACTTGGGCCCCTGTCTACTTAAGCTCAGCACCAGACCATCAAAAGGCTGTAATCAAACTTTCCACTTCCTTTAGAATTCTTTGAGGTAAAATAAAAAGGGAACTCTAGTAGATCTATACACTAAACAATACTGCTTGAATAAGTTGCATCCTCCCCCTATATGACAAGAGCTTATTTGCCCATGATTGAATTCTAGACCGTATTTTGTCCTTCAGTTGAAGACAATCCTGTTAAAACCTATCACCTACTTCACCCACTAAACCTAACCCACTACACTACTACCACCTCACCTACTCCACTAAACCTAACCCACTACACCACTACCACCTCCACTTTACCTACTCCATCTACCACCTACTACCACCTACTCTTCTATATATAGGAATCATTGTAACATTCAATACATCTATCAATAATACAATCAATATCTATACAATTCTCTATTTTTCTTTATACATTAAATTTTCTACAAATCCTCATAACTTAATCTTGTGGAAATAAGAGGCACACCCAAATACTAGACAGGAAAAAGACCCTCAGGCCTCAGGAATTGGAAGAACAGTCAGTAACTCAGCTTTTAAAATAGAAGAAATCCCAGCAAAGAAGACAGCACTCTTCTGTAGATTAGGTTGAAGTTCAGAGCATAAATGGAACTGATGTAAAGTGTCATTTATAATTTTGAATGACTGAATATCAGCCGCACACAGAACAAAAAGATCATCCACAAAGGCTAAGTGACTGATACCCAAAGATTGGCACTTAGGATAGAAAGTAAACTGACCATGAGTCAAATTGTGCTTAAGAAGAGCAAACAAACTGTCCGTAACTAAAAGAAAAAGATAAGGGGAAATTGGATCCCCTTGCCTTAAACCTTTTTCTCCTTTGAAATAACCTTCCAAGTCACCATTCAACACAATGGAATAACTAGCTGTGGACACACATTGAATAATGCAAGAAATAAACCTACTTGGAAACTCTGTAGCAGCCATTATTTTGAACAAAAAATCCCACCTTACTGAGTCGTAAGCCTTCATAAGATCTATCTGGATAGCACATCTGGCAGGGCCTTCATTCCTATGATAATTCCTAGCCAACTCCTGCATTAAAATCAGCAATGGACTGATCTTTCACAAAGGCAGATTGAGCAGGACTAATGAGAGCCCGAGAGCCCCAAGAACCTTCTGTAATCTGTTTACCAACACTTTAGAAATACACTTATAGTGTACATTGCAATAAGAGATAGGCCTAAAATCCCTCATAGTATTAGGGCAAGGTATCTTAGGAATTAGCGTCACAGCAGTATTATTCCATGCCCTTAGCATAAAACCATTGTTGAAAAAAGTTTGAATTGCTATAGTCACATCACCCCCCACACTGTCCCAGTTCTTTTGATAGAAAGTTGCATTATAACCATTTGGGTCAGGAGCTTTATCACCCTTAATAGAGAAGACAGCCTTTTTAATCTCATTAGCTGAAACTGAAACCACCAAACTATCCTTAAGGTGGTCTGGTATGCTTGCCAAATTCAAAGGAGCTAGCAAAGAGCTATCAAACTGCACATGTGAATCTTGAGTTCCAAGCAACTGCTTAAAGAAATTAACAGCCTCCTCCTTAATAGCCTTGGAATCTTCCAATCTATTACCTTGAGCATCTGAAATGCTAAGAATTTTATTCCTCACCCGATGAGAGGTCATCTTCTTATGAAATAATCTAGTATGGCAATCACCCAAAGCAAGCCACTGCACTCTGGACCTTTGCTTTTTAAAATCTTCTTCAGCACTAGCCAACTCCATATAGCATCCCTCTCAGCCAACTGCAAATCTTTAGCATGAGGATCATTATAACAACTTTCCTGCAGCTTATCTAGTTGCTTTTTTTACCTCCAAAACTCTGGTTGAAATATTACTATAACACTTCCTATTTAACTCCTTCAAAGCAGGCTTCAACCTTTTCAATGTCAACACCAGACACAACATAGCAGACCCCTCCACATCCTGTGTCCATGAATTCTGTAGAATATCCTTGAAAGACGGATTTGCCATCCAAAAATAAAAAAAATTTAAAAGGCCTTCTAACCCTTTGCTCGGACCAAATCCCAACAGAATTAGGACAATGTTCTGATATACCAGGATGACTAAACTGAGCTTCAACTCTAGACACTTATTATCTTGCCACACAGAATTCACCAAAACCCTATCAAGTTTACTTCTAATGTTGCCTCCACCACCTCTTTGATTACTCCATGTAAACCAAAATCCCTGAGATGTTAACTCCTCCGTACTTATATCTTCTAGACAAGAATTAAAAACAGAGGCAGCTCCTAACTCCAAGTGATCAGCATCCAACCTCTCACTAGCATGCCTTACCACATTAAAATCACCTAACAAGAGCCAAGCCTTGGACTGCACAAGATGATACACCTGCCTCAACTCAAGCCAAAGAGCAATTCTACTAGAAGTATTTGAGCCATAGATGAGAGACATACACATATGATTACCAGATTCCTTACGAATGGATCAACAAGTAATAACTTGTTCATGAATCACAAGAGGGATAACATCCCATACCAAAGTATTCCAAGTGAAAATAATTCGAGCTACATTCCCAGTATCAATATTATTCAAATAGCTCCAATCCACAGGTAAACTATGCTTCAACACAATAGGAATATTAACCTTCCTTACCTTATTTTTCAATAATACTAAAAACAGAGAACTTATTAGCAGGAATCATCCTTTTAACCTCTAACTGCTTAACAGGGTCATTAAGACCCCTAACATTCCAGGCACCAATCTTCATCATTGTTTATGATTAGCTCTCCTACCACCCACACCTTTTCCAGGGGGCTTCTTGTTAACGTTCTTACCTTGAACTAATCCAATATCTTGTATAGACCCAGGTCCAAGAGAAAGAGTATCTTCCAGCACCTGAGCCTCCTCCAACACAGTGCAGCAGACAATATCAGTGTTACCAAAATCAGGCATACTTATTCCAGCCTCCATTAACCCAGACCCTGTACAGTGTATTACCAGCAATAGCACACCCTTGGCCATCCAGAACTGCTGTGGAAGAAGATTCCCCAACCCCTTTACAATCAGCTAAATCAGCTACAACAACAGGATGAGGCTACTACCTCATAAATCAACATGCTTGGCCCAGGTTCATCATGAGTATCCTCCTGAACTACTTGCTTACCCTTCCCAGAATTTCTCTTAACAGGAATCCACAAATCATCCAGAACTGCTGTGGAAGAAGATTCCCCAAACCCCTTTACAATCAACTAAATGAGCTACAACAACAGGATGAGGCTACTACCTCGCAGATCAACATGCTTGGCCCAGATTCATCATAAGTATCCTCTTACCCTTCCCAGAATTTCTCTTAACTGGAATCTACAAATCATCCATGTTCTATGTCCGCATCCATGCTTCTTAAGGCAACATCCACAAATCACTTGTTAGTGGTTAGGTTATCTTTAAACATGTTAGTGAAATTTTTTCTTCATAGGCACATGTTAAGTTCCTCACTTCCACATGAATTATGGTTGACTACTATGTTAACAAACACCATAGATCTAACAACAGTGTAACTCAGGTTCTTTGTGTAATTGGGATTTTATTTACTCACTGTGCGTGTAATTATATTAACTAGTTAAAGTTTGCAAGAAGGCTACAGGTGGTGGGGCATATAAATTTGCGGATCTCTTTAAAGAAAGGCTTGGGGTTAGTATAGACAAGGAAGACGAAATGAATTGTCTCGTGGCTGGTGCAAATTTCTTGCTCAAGGTGCAATTCTACTACAATTATTTATTTTTTTTGGTAAAGTTAGCATTTGGATATATTATAAAATGGACCTCTGGTACTTAGTCTTCTTCTTTGGTTGTTTAATGTTCTTCATCAAATTTTAAATGGATTATTGCTGTTATTTATTTATTTATTTTTCAGTTGTTTAATGTTCTTCATAAGTTCTGGATCTTCAATTTGGTTTTGATAATGGAGTTTCAATCTTGGCTTTTAGTGTTGCTTCTTTGATCTCATTATGCATGGTTTTTTATTGTATGCTTATTTTTGTTCATTTAATGGAAAATGTTACTGGTAATTATGGTTGTGGATGTGTGGTTTTTGACTTGGATATAAAAAATAAAAAAGGTGATTATAATAGTGGTAGAGTGAAAATGAAATGAAAATAGTCATCTACCACATAATTTGTTCCTGCAGGAGGATGCTCTTGCATAAAGGAACTAAAATAATTCTTTAATTTTTGCCATAAAATATGTGGATGTGTGGGAAGGGATTTGGCAGGGATTCTCCCAATCTATCTGAAGGTTAAAAATACAAATAGAAGCAGACCTAACAAGAATCCTTCAAGTTTTTATTTAAAAATTTTGAATTTGGGAGATGGAGGAGTTGTAGATACTTGAAATGCTACCACACGTTGACAGGCCTAGATTCTCTCTCTCTCTCTCTCTGTGTGTGTGTGTGTGTGTCTATGTATTTATGTACGTATATAGTCTCTTGATGGAAAGTAGTATGAGTTTTGATTTCTTTGGTTTCACTTGCAATGGTGAAAAGATGAAAAATAGTTTAGAAAGGATACATCTACTTAATTGTTATCGTGCTTCAAGTTTGTCATAAAAAGTTATAACTTTGAGCTTAATTTAATTGTAGGAGATTCATAAATGATAATGATAATGATGATGCATTGTCTTTCTAATGTTACATGAAAGAGTAGTAGGAACTCATGATTGTCATAATGCAAACTCTGTGCAATATTTGGAAAACATATATGGATATTATTTTTGAATTTTTAGCCTTTAATGCATTATTTGTCATTAGCTCCTCAAGTTTGTCACTATTGTTCAGCAAAATCTTACGTTCTAGGAGTGCTTTGAGTAGGCAATTCGTCATGAAGCTTTCACGCACAAGGAGGGTCAAAAAGAGTTCGTACAGATTGACCAGAATGAATTATTTCCATACCTTCTTGTTAATATTGGATCTGGTGTTAGCATGATCAAGGTACTATTTTCATTTCTCACTAATTTGTTGTTGAGACATCATAAAAACTTTTATGAGGCTTGTCCAAATCTTTTAGTTTCGAATTGGGATAGGTCGATGGGGACGGAAAGTTTCAGCGGGTTAGCGGGACCAATGTTGGAGGTGGTACATATTGGGGTTTGGGAAAGCTGTTAACAAAATGCAAGAGGTTGTTTTAATCTTCTGGTCGATTTTGTATTATTTCTCAATTTCCTCTTCCAAATGTAGGATATTAATTGAGGTTTCCAAGCTATTTTCATTTCAGTTTTGATGAATTGCTGGAGCTGAGTCAGCGAGGAGATAACAGAACCATAGACATGCTTGTTGGTGACATCTATGGTGGTATGGATTACTCGAAGGTATATGTTCTTTTACATCAAGAGTCTTGATTTTTGTGCCATCTATTCTTTTCTTTTTTTTTTTAAAATTATTATATTTTATTTTTAATGTATCTTAGGTTTCTAGAATGACAATGACAGTTAAATGATTGCGTTGTGTACATGTTTTTGTCACTTCCATGTCTCAGAGGTGGAGTTTGCCTCAAGTTTGTTCATGTCATTTTGTTAAGAGTGACTGAGTACCCATTTATCTTACAATCACAGATCGGCCTCTCTGCATCAACAATCGCTTCTAGTTTTGGCAAAGCAATTTCTGAAAACAAGGATCTTCAGGACTACAGACCTGAAGATATTTCTCTATCCCTCCTGCGAATGATTTCATACAATATTGGACAGGTGAGTTGCATGAAGACAAGATTTTTATCATGCAATACATGGAAATGAATGGTCAAATATGTTTGTCTGCAAACGTTGTACACCAGGCGAAATTTTAAAACTCAATAATTTTGGGGGCATGATAGGGGAAAACAGAAAGAATGTATTTGAAATGGGGAAAAAGCAATTGCTATTGAGAGAAAAGAGTGTGTTTTCATTATAACTAATATGTTTGGCATCTGTGTCAGATACCTCCTCCCCTCCCCAACTTTTTCAGGGGGAAAAAAAGAGAGAGAAGAAAAGCCATGATTGTGCTACCTACTGCTTGATGACTATTAAAATGATGCCTCTGATACAAGTTTTCTCTTTTGTAGATATCTTACTTAAATGCACTGCGGTTTGGGCTTAAGCGGATATTTTTTGGAGGATTCTTTATAAGGGGTCATGCTTATACAATGGACACAATCTCTTTTGCAGTTCAATTCTGGTAACAACTAAGTATTAGTATTAACTATGAAATTTAGGCTAGGAGTCACATTATTGTCCTCTTTGTTTTATGATTTATATTGTGATTCTGAAGTTGAACTTATTCTTCTTTTTTCAGGTCGAAGGGAGATGCGCAAGCGATGTTTTTAAGGCATGAAGGGTTTTTGGGTGCTTTAGGTGCATTCATGAGTTATGAAAAGCATGGTTTGGATGACTTGATGGTCCATCAGTTGGTAGAAAGGTTCCCAATGGGTGCACCATATATTGGAGGAAAGATTCATGGTCCTCCACTAGGGGATTTGAACGAAAAGGCAAGTATTTGCTGTATGACGGCAAAATTTGAGGCTGACCTTCTGATTTTTTAAAAATTAACATATTCGGATTGGGTGTTGAACTAGGGGGATTGGTTTTAGTGCAACCCATAATCTGCCTCGATTATACATACACGTGTTTTGGGATTGAATGTTGATAACATAAGTGTTCTCTAATTTTATACATATATTAGTCAAGATGTTTCATGCTGCTCATCTAGGTTACTTTTTCCTTCTAGTCCATGTATGACACAAGTGTCCACTCACGCACAAGCCTTTCCAAAATGAGAAAAAGAAAAAAAAAAGGTGGCTACACAGAGGGTCCCACTATTTTATTAGCTTCTAGTTTTCTTCCTAGTCTTTCAGAAGTTTCAAATAATTAACTTCAGAAATAAAAGCAACAGAATATTTTCATACTAATGATTCTCTAGAATATATCCTTCACTATTATTCTCACTTACTGAATTTGAGGCCTCAAAGAAAGAATTTGTTCTTTAAGAATATGTTCTTCAACAATCATATTGGCATATATACAAAATAATTGGGATTAATCTTGACATAGCTTGTGCATGTAAATGTAGATATCATGGATGGAAAAGTTTGTTCAGAAGGGAACTGAGATTACTGCTCCTGTTCCAATGGCTCCACCCGGAACCACTGGCCTTGGTGGCTTCGAAGTTCCATCATCCAGGGGAAATACCTTGCGTTCTGATGCAAGTAATCTAAATGTTGGTGTTCTCCATCTTGTACCCACTTTGGAGGTGTTTCCATTGTTGGCAGATCCAAAAACGTATGCAAATTTTTAAAGCAGCATTGCTTATTTTTTCGTTCTATGAATTTTGTTCAATGCTTCACCTAGTGGCCCTTGTAAAATGATTGGTTTGTTTTCGGATTAGTAGCCCATAGAAATGGCTCAGAAGATGTAGATGAAATCTTTATAGTACTTCTGGATTTTTCATTCTGGTAATGATATCTCGTGTTACATCACTTGTCTTCATTAGTTGCTTATTACTTTAGTGGTTAGGTATTATATCTTAAAGGTTCTCATAAAGTTCCTCTTTCTCGTCATGGTACCAGCATGGTTATCAGAATTCCGATCCGGATCTTACGATCCTACAATCTTACGATCCATTTGAGTACAATCGATCCGGATCGTGTAAAAAACTCCTTATAGGCAGAATCTTTTGATCCTGGTAGTGGGATCTTATAGGATCGTGGAATCCCGATCCGAATCCGATCATATCCGATCCAATTTACAAGCCTTGTTTTGTATTGTATGACATATTTTGTTGTAAATTTTATATTTGTTGTCTAAATATCAATTTATGTTGTCAAAATAAATAATAAAAATTAAGTAGTATTGAATCAAATAGACTAAGAAAAACAAAGTAGGAAACAAACATTCAAATATTGCGGTAATTTAAGAAAATTAAATAGTCGGAAAAACAAACTTAGCTTTAGCGGAGTCTAATAAGGGTAAGATGATTGTAACTTTATCCCAATTTCTGAAGAAATTATTTTTGTGACTCGAATCCGCTCCACCAGGGATGCTAACGACAAACCTTATCATTCGACTAAGCTACTCTTTTGAGTTCTTAATCTATTTTCATATCAAATTTTGTTAAATATTTTTTCTTCACTTTTTATGCATTATTGTACATTGTAAAGTATTTTGTTATAGAATTCTTCTTCTTCTTCACCTTCTTTTTTGATAAAATACAGAACTTTTACCATCGAGTTTTCTATTGCATAATATTATATGTACATTTTACATTGAGCATTATATTTTTCACAATATCTTCACTTCTTTTTAATAAAATATAGGTTCATTTTGTGTATACTTTATAAGAAATATTTATTTAAATTAAATTATTATGTAATTTGTCTTTTTCGGTAGGATCTTACGATTCTCGATTCGATTCTACGATCCGATCCTATAAACACCTCCAACGATCCAACGTAGGATCCCGATTTTAACAACCTTGGGTACCAGTCATTTTAAGTTTTCGAATCAAGTTTTTGTTACATTGCTGCTCTCTCTCTCTCTCGCCAAAAAGATAATCTTTCGTACTCACATCCAATTGATACAATCCAAACACTAGGAAGAAAAGAATGGAAAACCAGTTCATGTTTTGATTTATTTTCTGGTTAGGATATTGGTTGCCTTCCCTTTACTTCCAGCTGCCAATGGTGAGATTATGGGTGTTTTTCTCATTTTATTTCATTTTATTTTTTGTTGTTGTTGCTATTGTAGACTTGCATTTACTCATGGGTGAATCTGAATTTGCAATTATTTGTTGACTATTCCTTATAAACCATTAAATTTGTACAAAAAGTCAGTAATCTCACCATCTTTTGGCCTAATATTTATTCACTTCCCTTCCTACAGGTATGAGCCCAACACTATAGATCTTTCTGATCACAGTGAGCTAGAGTAAGTCAATGCCTATTAATTTGCTACGTATTTTTATGATAGTTGGATACAGTTGCAATTATTGACACTGCAAGTATTTCTCTGCTGTTATTGGATGTCTTTTGCTGTAGGTATTGGTTCACTGTGCTGTCAGAGCATTTGCCAGACCTTGTTGATAAGGTATACACTAAACATTCATATCCTCCTCAAGCCACCCTTGCTCTCTCTCTCAAATTGAAGTCATCACAAATGAAGGAACAGTGAGTACTAACTAGACTTGCCAATCAACAACAGTCGTTAATTAAAAGATTTGGATGAACGAACGTTCTGATTTTAATCAAGTACTACAATTGATCCAGCGTTTCCAACTTCCATCAAGGAATTTAAAACATTAGTTTCTTCAGATTTTTCTACATTAGTGGCCATCGTGTCATAATTCAGAGTAAAAGATATATTTTGGTTTGAAAAAACGAAAGTGTTTCTGTCACCGCTTGAAGTTGTATGGAATAACTCCCTAGGGACCTTAAATGAATTAACATTAATGGAGTAAATTATTAAAATACAATTTACCCATAAAACCTATCTTTGAAGCTGAATGCATGAAGAAGACATTAGAATTTGAAATGAAATCTAAGAAATGCATAATAAGAAGTTGGCATTCAAATGTTAAATATAATATTCCTAGTTTTTTTTTTCTCCTCTCTTTTTTTTTCACCTCTCTACTTGGCAATCAGGCTGAGCATAATGTTTCAGTTGAAGGTGCAAAATATATGGCAATGAAAAAATATGGCAACCAACCTAATCTCATGAAGTCAAAGTCCTTTGTTTTGTGCTAGAGCTTTTCTCTTTTCATTGTTCATTGATATATTCTCAATGTGCCCTTTTTTCAAAAAAAAAAAAAAAAAAAAAATTCTTCATCTGTTTGTTTGAAAATTTTAATAGTTAAGAAAATTCTTAAGATTATAACCGTGAGAATTTGAATAATTATATAGGCAGTAGCAAGTGAAGGTGGAACCGACGATGCTAAAAGGCGGGGTGATGCTTTTGCTCGTGCATTTTCTGCTCACTTGGCAAGGTATCTACAAACTGATAAACAATTGCATTATTTGATCTTCTAAAAGGATGCCATAGATCATAGTTGTAGACCAAAAGCCGTGAAAGTATAAGAAACTTGAAAAGCTTTTGGCAGTTGTTACTGTGTGACATTCTTTCTGGAAAAGTAGTTTTTGAACTACTCCACAAATGAGTTCCAGTTATTAAAATTTTCAATTTCAAGCTCCTATTTTGTGAAACAGGTTGATGGAGGATCCTGCTGCATATGGAAAGTTGGGGCTGGCCAACCTTTTGGAACTAAGGGAAGAGTGCTTGAGGGAGTTCTATTTTGCTGATGCCTATAGAAGCATAAAACAAAGGTATCCATCCACATTTGGAGAGTTAATTTTTATTTGAATATGGTTTCTTCCTGTTTGTGATGTCATTCTTAACCACATACAATTTGTGTCTGGCCACAAAATGACGTGCCTCTTATCTTTTTGTTGGTAATTTAACCTGTATTTTCCTCTTCTTGGCATGTGATAGGGAAAATGAGGCATCACTTGCTGTTCTGCCTGACCTGCTAATGGAGATTGATAGCATGAATGAGGTATGTGTAAATTTTAAACTTGTTCTCTCCTTCCCCCTCACTTCCCCCCTGAATTGGAAGAAGAAAAGCGAAAGCTGCATTATTATGGAAACTAATGCATACTGTGATCTTTTTTTAATCTAATCAAATTCTTATATCACCACGCATCTCTGCGTAACTACTGGAACTGTTAAGTGTGAAGATTTGAATCTTGCAAAAGTTTTGTTGAGATTGGAGTGGACCCATCACTGAAATAAATGGAAATATGTTGCATTGTTTTTCACCCCTTACCATTATTCTACTGATTGTCTGAAGCATTCCTTCATTGCAGGAAACAAGACTGCTTACCCTAATTGAAGGTGTTCTTGCTGCAAACATTTTTGATTGGGGATCCCGTGCCTGTGTTGATCTCTATCATAAAGGAACAATTATTGAAATATATAGAATGAGTCGCAAAAAGATGCAAAGACCATGGCGAGTAGGTGAACTGAAAATAAAATTCTTCTGGGAAAAATTATAGTAAAAATTAGAATATCTTTCCTTCAAAGTAATTGTTGGATAATCATTAGAAGGTTTTTGTTTGTGTATTTTAGGTGGATGATTTTGATCTTTTTAAGGAGAGAATGTTAGGGTCTGGAGACAAGAAATCTCCACCACATAAAAGAGCACTACTCTTTGTGGACAACTCAGGTGCTGATGTGATCCTGGGAATGCTTCCACTAGCACGGGAACTCCTCCGACGGGGAACTGAAGTAAGTGTTTTCTCAGTAGTGTTAATGAAATGGTTCTGAATATTTTTAATTGAAGTTTGTATTAATAGTAACCCCAATCTAGGAATGCTTCTCTCCACTTTGTGAAGTCTGATTTAATAAAGGTTTATTGGTAATTGCGAGAATGGGGTCATGAAGATGTGATTCGCCAATCTCTCCCCTGCCCCCCACCCCCTCCAGGAGGAGACAGAGAAGGAGGATATGGAGACATATAGATACATTATGATTGATGAAAGTTGATACGATTGTTTTGCAATGGATTGCATATCTAGCTGTTCAAATGATCGATGTTACCGCATTACTGTTGGCAAAATCATATGATATGCAATTAGGATCTTAGGATTGCATTACACTATTGTACAACATATTTGACATTTTTGACTTTATCATATGAAATGACTAGTAAATGTATGATAAATGGCTATTATGTGATATACATCGTATTGGATTTTCAGGTTGTGCCCAGTTGATTAGGGTGTGAGCCTGAAACAAAGAAACTTCTTAGGACTAAACTTTATAGCTACCATGGATGTTACTTTGTACTTTGTAGGCTTAACATTTTCTTTGACAGTGTTATCTCCGTGCTTGCCATGAGTAACAAGGATATTTTTACAGGTTGTTCTGGTTGCAAACTCACTCCCTGCACTAAATGATGTTACTGCTATGGAGCTTCCTGATATTGTGGCTGAGGCTGCCAAGGTTTGTGATGGACTATATGCATAAACGCTAACCAATTATTTTCTTCCATTGAATCCTGCTGTTAGTTATCATGATGTAGTTTAGTAAGAGACCCGCCAACTAAAAATAGCATGTTATGTTGCCATTCTTCTTCTTCTTCTTCTTTTGGTGTGTCATAGACATGTAGCTATTAATAATTTATGCTCATGTGGAAGTTCTATGTGATATCCTATGTTACATGGACTCTTCAAAATAAATCAAATATCTGTTTCGGACACCCAACACTTGGACAATAGCATGGGATATATACATATGATACTTTCTGTTGGACACTTTTTATAAATAATACTTTCCACCGGACACTTTTTATAAATTTGTATTTAACACTATCATTATATGTATATATTGTTGTATAATTGTTATTAAATGAGTAAAATGCCTTTTTGACATAGTATGTTACATTTATCATTGTTTAATCTCACGTAGTGGGTGTTTGGGAAGTGGGTTTTTATGTAGGCTTTTTTAGTTGTAGGAGATTATTGGATTAAATTTTTTTGGTGTTTGGGAAGATAGTTGGGTTTTTTTTTGTGGTTGGATGTGATGTTTGTGAGAGAAAAGTGAAATGATTATGGGGTTGGATGTGATATTTTGTTTGGATGTGTTTTTTTTGGTTTTGTAAAAAGTTTGTCTTTTAGTGGGAAAAAAAAAAAAATTTGGAACCCAAGTTCCCAAACACCACCATAATAGATTAAACATGTAAAATGACCCTATTTTTCTGAGTATGGGCTTCCATGCTCTAGATACACTTCCACACTTGACACCTATACCTGAGCCCATGTAACATAGGTGATATCCATAAGTTGTATGAAAATACTGAAAGAAATTTGGATTAATTAGTTAAACAAATTTTCTGATCTATACCAATATTCAAGGTAATTGACGTGTAAACATTGCTTGCCCATGTAACTACCGAACCATGTTAGCCATTTTTGATATTTCACTTCATGATTCATTGCTTTGACTTCCCATCATACCTCTGCACATAATTCTGGAGGCTTGTTTGCTTTGCCCATCAACACGAGAAACTGATTCCTCTGGTCCACAGCATTGCGACATTCTTCGCAGGGCTGCTGAGGCAGGAGGCCTACTAGTGGATGCAATGATTAACATCCAGGATGCTTCCAAGGAAAATTCCGTGTCAGCAGTTCCTTTGATGGTTGTTGAGAATGGTTGCGGAAGTCCCTGCATAGACTTGAGGCAGGTTAGCTCAGAGCTAGCTGCTGCTGCGAAAGACGCTGATTTGGTACAATGCTATTTTCTTCTTATAACTTGTGATTTTGTTTTGTTATGTATAGGCATGTTGGGTTGATCATATGACTCGGAATTTTTCTTGCAGATCATATTGGAAGGGATGGGTCGAGCTCTGCATACCAACTTCAATGCTCGGTTTAAATGTGATGCTTTGAAGGTAAGAGTCTACCGTTCTGTGATATTTTTGGAATGCAAGGATAGAAGGCATTTGGTGATTTCGCGTGTTCCTATCAATTGGTCTAACAATGAAAATTGTCCTACTGATGAGATTTTCAGACCTGTAAAACTAAAGGGTTTGTCTTCGTTTTATGAGTAGAAAAATATTAAAAGGCCTCACACTCGAGATATCAGTCAAAGATGTGATGAGTTGGTGCATTAGATTTATTGCTCTCTAATGCCTCAGAACTGTGTCTGCTTTAGAGGGCCTTTAACCACAAATCGTGCGAATAAACTTTATTTCCAAACTACAATAAAATGTGATTATTAGTCACTTTTTTTTTTTTTCTTGAAAAGTGTTATTGTAACAACATTATGAAAAGGTTGTTCAAATAGTGTTCTGCATTAAGTAAAAAAACATGTTTAGTATGAAAATGTAGTTGCTAATTATGTTTTACCTTAGTTTAGGAACAAAGTTTGTCTATACACTATATGTTTAATTTTGAATAAAAAAAGTGATAGAAGCCCCTTTTAAGTTTCTGTAGGAGTGCGGAAGGCAGATTTTTAAGGTCCTTTTGCCTTGTCTAACAAAAACTTTCCTTTTACAGCTTGCAATGGTGAAGAATCAGCGGTTGGCGGAAAAGTTGATTAAAGGAAATATATACGAATGTGTCTGCAGATATGAACCTGCCAGAGATCAAAACTCTTGTCATCAAGTTTCTGTTAGTCAACCTTGATGAAATCATTTGTCTTTGACGGTTAAATCTTTGGATTAACATATTGTTTTCTACATCTTTTTGTTTTTGTTTTTAGTTATTTAGTTACTTCACTGGCCTCGTGCTTTACCTGATTTCCGAAACATGCAAATTTTAGTACTTTTTTGCTTACTGGAATGTGTAATTTAGTGAAACAACACACTGTACTTTATGGTGCCTCTATTTTCAAGATTTAGAATAATGTTTTCAAAAACAGTATCAGAAAGGTTTCAAAATAAGTATGGGTTGTGGATATTTAGGTGTTTCCTCAAGTTTTTACTGCTCAGCCAATCCCTTGATCTACAAATTCATTTGAATGATCTTCAGTTGGTTGCAATTGCTGTGATCGAGATTTGAACACTTGCCTTTGCTTTTAAACAAAACAACAATGATTCATCCCCTTTTTTTCCCCACCCCCTTTGACTCCCTCTCTCTCTCATTGGTTACATTTTCTTTTTCTTTTTCTTTTTTTTCCTTCTCTTCCAATCACCACCTGTCACATGGTAAAGGGGGTGAGGGGTGACCCCCAAAAGGGGGTCCCAAGCATTATTCTAAACCAAATTACAAGTAGTGCAAAATATATATATCTATTCTATTATTAAAAGGGAACAACAATTTTGGTGTCATGAAATCACTCCTTAGAAATTTTTTTTTAATTTTTTCTAAAATGACCTTAACTTGTTACACTTACATCAGTTTTAATTAGGAGTAAAATGATAAATTAAAACAATAAATGTCACTTTCCCACTTCCCAACCTTCACGTCTTCTTATTGTTGTGCAGTCCTAAAGCAGTTACTACATCTTCACTGAAAAGTTTTGAACATCTTCGTTGCATTTTGCATTTGTTTTGATTTCACTGAAAAGTTCTGAACAACTTCACTGTATTTTGCATACAAAATTTCTAAAAGTTCCTTTCTAAAAGCATCCTATGGATATGTGATTGGTTGTATGTTTCACTTTTGGTTTTTTTTTTTCCTTCTTCCTCCCTCTCTTCTTCCTTCCCCCTCTACTTTGCTCTAGTCTTCGAAAAAATAAAAATCTAAATCCAAATCAAAAAATCAAAATCAAAATCAAAATCAAAATTTAAAAAAAAAATCAAAAAAACAAACCTAATCTACATAGATCTGTGCAAATCTACACAAATAAAAAAAAATCAAAATCAAAATCAAAATCAAAATAAAAAATAAACCCACAGCAATAGAGGAGCAATAGAGGAGCAAAGGAAAAAGGAGAAGAGGGAAGAACAGAGGAAGGAGGAAAAAGAGGAAGAAAGAAGAAGAAAAGAAATAGAAAGAAGAGAGAAGAACAGAGGAAGAAGGAGAGAAGAAACAGAGATTGGCAGCCATCATCGTTGCAAATCCTCCATATCGTTGCAAATCCTTCATTACTGTCGTCCATCGCCATCACCATCACCGTTGCTCTGTGTGCATACACAGATCTGTATATATATACACACATAGATCTGTGTGTATACACAGCCCATCGTCTCTCTTTCTCCCTCTAACCCATCGTTTCTCTTCCTCTCTTTTCTCTCTTTCTTCTCTCTTCCTTCCTCTTTTCTTTTTCTTCTCTCCTCTTTTCCCTCTTCTCCTTGTTTTAGAGGGAAAAGAGGGGGGAAAAAAAAAAAATTTCAAAAGAACGTTGTTTTGAAATTCGAGCCAGTCGAGCTTCGAAAATCTCGAGTTACCAAGCTTTATAGAATAGATGTGTACTTTATATTTGATGTTGTTAATTTCTTAGTCTCTAGCATTTCTATATCCAAAAACTTCTCTCTGTTTTTGTTTCTCTAAAAAATAAAAATTTTAATGATGAGGTTATCTAAGATTTTCGAACCCTCGAAAACATCTACAACCACCATACCCAATACAGCTTCATGGTACTGCTTCATGGTACTGTGCTATTTGCTATAGTCAATTGTTTATCGTTTGCCGTATTTAACCTTTGGTTCTGGGTTCATCTTTGCACCAGTTGCCGTGAAGAGGAGGGGGGGGGGATTGTTTCATTTCATCTTTACACCGGTACAATGGAGTTCCTGAGGAAGAGAAGAAAAGAGATTTGATCTGGTATGGTTCACTCTATGGTAGGATTGCAAATAGATGGTTCTTTCTGATAAATAGAACAACTAAAGTAGAACATGTAAATTCACGAAACAATTCATTCTATTAGTCAATTGTTTATCGTTTGCCGTATTTAACCTTTGGTTCTGGGTTCATCTTTGCACCAGTTGCCGTGAAGAGGAGGGGGGGGGGGATTGTTTCATTTCATCTTTACACCGGTACAATGGAGTTCCTGAGGAAGAGAAGAAAAGAGATTTGATCTGGTGTGGTTCACTCTATGGTAGGATTGCAAATAGATGGTTCTTTCTGATAAATAGAACAACTAAAGTAGAACATGTAAATTCACGAAGCAATTCATTCTATAAAGAAATATCAATAAAACCTGTTATTTGATTTGATTTAATTTCATTTGTAATCATTTGTTTGGGTTCCTAAATTTTGTGTGTATTTTTTTTAAGAAAGGATTCAGTGTTATTAAAAACATTTAATTTTTTTTTTTACCATTTTTTATTGTTTTTTATATTAATAGGTATTACTATTATTTTTTTTTTTTGTACGCATCAATTCTCTTTGAATATTAGTGTTTTAAGAGCCTTGGGTTTATATATTTGAAAATTTTGCGTTTGTGTGGTTATAATTTATGATTTCAAAAAATTGATTTTTTGTTTTCTTAATTTGATGTGTGTTTTTAAAAAAACAATTCGGCATTCTTAAAATTTGTTGTTGTTTTTTTTTAAATAACAGTCTTAAAATTTGATTTAAAAAAAAAGAACAGTTTTTTTTTTTTTTTTTCAGTTTTATTATTTCATTTTTTATATTATCATTTTTATTTGCATATATCAAATCTTTTTTATTGTAAGTGTTCTAAGAGTATGGGTTTGTATTTTGATATTTTGTGTGTACACTGTTGATTATATTTTTTATTTTCTTCATTAAAAAGTAAAAGAAAATAAAAAATTTCATTATGTTATTAGGTTCCTTGGGAAAAAATAGACTATTACTTTTCTTAATTTATATCAAATCTATTTCACTTTAACTGTTATTTTTCTTTACGTAAATCAAATCTTTTTTACTATAAGTATCCCTTTTTTTTTGCTAGTGTAAGTATTCTAAGAGTATTAGATTTGAATTTTTTTTAAAAGAATATTTGTTTATTTGTTTATTATTATTTTTGTGCATGTTTTTTTTTAAAAATAATTTGGTATTCTTAATATCAAATGTTATATTAGAAATAGTTATATTGTTATACATATGATTCATATGTGCAGTATCAGGAAAAAAAAAATTGAATTTCAGATTATAACTCCAAATGAATTTGCACATGCATTGCGTGTATCCAGCCGCTAGTATATATATATATATATATATATTTTTTTTCACAATTTATGAGCTAAGAAAACTATAAAACACCTGAAGCAAACTCATCCCACTTTGTTTTAGAAAATATCAAACATGATCCCTTCTTTTTTATTTTATTTTATTTTTGGTCCTTCAACAAATGTTCTTTAGGACTGCCACTTGAATTGAAGTGAATTCATTTCAACAATATACATGCAACAATGATAAATAATTTCCAATGCCTCTCATTCAAATAGTTTGATGACTGGATTCAATGCCATGGAAAATATGGCTACAAAAAAAAAAATTAATAAAAAAACCTAAAAGACAATCTCAATGAATAAATAAACTCTGAAGACAAAACAACAATGGACCTGCATTATATAAAATTATTCATGAATATAATTAATTGTCAATGTTTGCTTAGTGAGATTGCTTAATTTAATTCATATAATATAACAATACAGAGAAAAACAACAAAAAGAAGGGCATTTGGTCTAGTGGTATGATTCTCGCTTTGGGTGCGAGAGGTCCCGAGTTCGATTCTCGGAATGCCCCTACATCTTTCTAGGCTCTGGTTTTTTCTTTTTATCAAGTGAATTAGGATTTGCTCTCTTTCCTGTCTTGTAGACCAATGCCATCTTTGTTTCTGTACTTTTATTTCTCTTATTTTTAAAAAAGTTAATCTCTTATGACCAAAAATAAAAAATCAAAATTCCCTACTAGTTAGAATTTGAATAGCCTACTAGTTAGCTAACAATTGTGGTGTGAACACACAAGATTTTCACATCATAAAACATAAATGTGAGACAAAAGCAGAACGTTAAACTCACCTTGTTGGAAACAACATTTTATCGAAAAACTGGAGAATATACATACCATACATTTATACATATTAAAATAAGTTAGTAGAGCTAATATGAATTTAGTGTTAGATTAGGGTAATAAATGGGCTAAGTTAGGCTTATGATGGGGTCATATAGATGGACGCACATACCTGTTCCTGTTTGCAACTTCACGAAGTTCACTACCTTGTTCTTCTGTAAGATAAAAGTCTAATGGTAAAGTTCACTGTTAGCATCGTCCATGGCACTGGTTTGAGCTACGAAAACTCTGTTCAGAGATGAGTTACATACATCTTATTCTCTCTAAACCCAATTTAAACACACCTACATGCAGTCTGATTGCCCTTCAACCAGTCACACACATCCACAGTAACACACTGAGTTCTTCGAAATATTTAACCAAAACTTCATTCAAATCATATGCATTGCGAAGTGTCAAATCAATTATTCCATAGAACACTTGAAATTTTGAAGAACTGATATTTTCATTTTCCCCTCAATGGGAACTGAACAGCACAGCAACTACAAAAACAAGCATAAAATTTCATTCCATAATGGCAACTCCTCCGGCAGCCTTTACCTTCTCGATTATGTCATTTGCCTCCTCCTTGGTGACTCCTTGTTTGAGCACAACCGGTGCTTTTTCCACCAAATCTTTCGCTTCCTTCAATCCCAGATTTGTAAAAGCCCTAACCTCTTTGATGACCTTGATTTTCGCAGTGGCGTCAAATTTCTCCAACTTAACATCAAACGCCATTTTCTCTACCTTCTTCTCCTCAGCATTTGTGGTGGACGGCACTCCCTGAGGACCCACATCCATGCCTTCTACTGAAATCGGTTGCATCTTGGGATGCTTGAGTCTCTCCCTAAGAGTTGGACCAATTTGAACACGCTCTTCGATAGGTAGGGAAGCAATGCGTTCAGCGAGCTGAATGATTTTATCGGAAGGTGGGGGTCTAGGGCCATATGGGTTGTAGAAGGCGGGATATTTGTACCGTTTGGGACTCGCTTTGGGATCTCTAGGAACAAAGTCAGGTTGGAATGATCGAGACTGTAAAGGACCGGTTATTTTAGGGAGAGTAGGACGGGGACGAATGGTTTTAACTAGTGTTATGAACTTCATGGTATTGTAATTAGTGAAAATTCTCATGGAATGAAAAGGGGGTGAATGGAACCTATTTGTTATGTACTTGCCATATAGATGTAACCATGGGATGGTAGCTTCTAATTTCTGATGCAATTGAAAGAACTCTTACCTGAAAAAAGAAAAGAAAAGAAAAGAAAATATAAGCCAAACAATCATCACCTTTTCCAGAAGAATATCCCTTCCAGTGCCACCCGATCCAAAAAAAAAACAAAAAATGGTGCAACAAAATAAGGTAATTAACGTTCATTTGGCTACCTAAAAGAATAATAACAACGACAAATATCACAACTTAGATTCATTAAAATCCAAGGAATGTCATCTCACTCTATCATATAGAAAGAGAAAAAAAATAGGAAGTAAAAAACAACGCATTTAGTTGCATTGCTTCTTTCCAGGTTGTTCGTTAAGGAATAAATAACGTAAAAAAAAGTTCGAATTCCAATACACATTTCACATATTCTCATACAATCTTATATATTTCTATACTCTTTTTTTTACATATTTAAATACACTTTTTCACACATATACGGTTATCTTCTCCCTTTTATTAAAGCAAAAAGCAGAAACAGAAACAGAAACATAAATTTTGATTAATCAAAAGTCAAGAAACTACTAAAACAAAAATTTCGGTTCATTTCATTCCATTCCATTTGTTGTATAACAGGGTAATGTGTTTGGCACCAATATGTCTATTCTTAAATGAAAACACAAAACATGAACGAACTATACTTTTGATAGGTTTCTGATAATAAAAAAAAATCCTGAGAAAACCTAGCAAAAACAAGGAGACAGAGGAATCAAATATGCAGAGATTATTAACAGATAACAAGTTCAAACTTAATACAACAATCCAAATAGAATGACCAAGCTATTAGTGGCTTAATAAAACTCATTTCAGCTGCCAAACAATGGATTTTCTGAGAAAAAACAAAAACTCATATGCAGATCGGTTAGGCATAGCAATCCAAATATGTGTGGAAATTTGATGAATCGATTGAATAAAGAAAAATGAAGAGGAGATTGAGATTTACCGGATTGGAGGGGTCGCTGGAAAGTCACCTGAGAGGTGGTGAAGAGAGCGTTACCCGAAGAAATGAAGGAGATGAACACTCTCTCTCTCTTCTCTTCTCTTCTCTACTCTCTCTGAGTTGCAAATTGCGAAAAGGAAACCCTACTGGGCTCTGTTCAGTTCTTCGCAATTGGGGCGGGTATTCGTTGGGTTAGATCCATCTCAAGGTGCGTTACCCGAATACCCATTTCTACCTGTATTTATTTTTCATTTTTACTTGATAATTCATACACTTGTGCTACATCTCTACAAAAATCTCCCACAAAAGCACTTCTTCATAAACTCTAACTGGTAAGAACCTATTCACTTACTCTATATTGCTAAATTCTTATCGGTCAGAATCTATAAAAGGATGCTTTGTAGGAAATTTTTGTGGGGATGAATCATTTTCCTAATTCCTAATAGGGTAAATTACATGAACCCCTTTTTAGTTTTGAAAAAAATACAGTAAATTGATTTTAATTCATTTATCACTTAGCATCTTTTTCATCAATAATTTATTTGTTATATGGATAAAAAAAATGATGCTGTCATTTCTTTTATACAAAAATGTATAGTTTACGTTTGTATTTTTGTATCATCCGTATAAGTTTTGATTCATTTAATCTTACTAAAAAAAAGATCAATATAATTATATTAAAATTGTAAAACTTATTATATTTTTTTTGACTTTTTATTGAAATGGGTTTCTTTTTCTTCTATTTTTGGATCATACTACCAATTTTGAAAATAATACTAATGCATTGATAACGCATCAAATATTTTTGGATCATACTACCAATTTTGAAAATAATACTAATGCATTGATAACGCATCAAATAGTAAATATGATAATTTCTTCTTCCTCGCTTCCTTGTCCCCCACCTTACCTCATGCATGTTTTCCTTACCCCATTGAAGTATGGTGGAGATCGATTTTGCTCCTCAGCCTTTGTCTCAACCCGAATTATATTTACTTACATATTAATATGTATAATATATAATTTTTAAAAAATATTTAATAAGATTAAAACACCAATATATTGTACTCGACATTTATTTTTCATCTTACCTATTTTAATTCCCATCATTTATAAACTATTATCCAAAATATACGATTGTTTTTTTCTAAATATTCCAAAAAATCAAACTACTTGTCCAAATAACTCACTTTTTAAACTATTTAGCAAACTGACTGACTTTTTTAAAAACGCAAGTTCACAACAAGACTTTATCATGAAATCGCATATCCAAAATGTGATTTCATGGTGAAATGCGATTTTATATTGACATGATCCACTCGTGTGTAGATGTAGGTCATATCGTATCTTCAAGATGTAATTTCACCATAAAATCACATTTTCAACTTGCAATTTCAAAAAGTCAGATAGGTTGATAAATAGTTTAAAAATTAGTTATTTTAAAAAATAATTCAAATTTTTTGGAATATTCACAAAAAAACTCCAAAATATACTATATTATTTCTCATTTTTATTTGTATCACTATTCCTAAAGTTACAAAATTATCTTATTCCCGCCCATCCCACTCTCGGGCACTACATAGCTGCCTGCCTCATTGCCATTCTTATCAAACTAACATGTCACCCGTGCTATGCACGGGATAAAATAATATGTTATTCATTAAAAATATGATAATTATATTTAAATTTTTTTTGTATTTTATTTGTCGAAAATAAAATTTTATATATAAATTTAAGAGTTTTGTTTCAAATATTCCTTTACATATATAGTATAGATAGATTAAAATTATTGTATTGACAATTAATAATTAAAATTATGCTTTGTTATAAAAAAAAAGACATAGTTCTAATATTTCACTATTTTAACCAAACAAAACCAAACCAAACCTTAAGTCCCATCAAATGGGGTCGGCTACATGAATCCTTCTTCTCCACGCGGCTCTATCAAAGGCCATTTCATTAGTCAAATTAAATAGATCCGTATCTCTATTTACAACGCTAGCCAACATTAATCTAGGCCTACCCAGCCCCCTAACACTTCTATCTACCGTCATTGCATTGCATTGCATCTTTTCACTACTGCCTTTGTTGGTCTTCGTTGAATATGACTAAACCATTTCAATCGATTCTCTCTTATCTTCTATCGGTACTACTTCTACCCATTCTCGAATACACTCATTCTTAATTTTGTCTTGTCTTGTCTAATCTTGCTATACATCCACCTTAGCATTCTCATCTTAGTAACACTCATCTTATCTATATGTTGTTTCTTGGTTGCCCAACATTCCGTTTCATACAACATCGCTGGTCTAATAGTTGTTCTATAGAACTTAACCTTTTAGTCTAGTGGATATTCGTTTATCATACAATACTCCAGCGGCACTTCTCCACTTAAGCCATTCCGTCTTAATCCTATAGGCCACATCCCCATCAATCTCCCCAGCCGTTGTGATAATTGACCCTAAATAACGAAAATGTTCACTCTTAGACAGTTCTTAGTTCTCAATCTTCACTTCTCTTCTGCTTTCATTACTAAACCAAACCAAACCAAACCAAGCCTTAAATCCCATCAAATGGAGTCGGCTACATGAATCTTTCTTCTCCACGCGGCCCTATCAAAGGCCATTTCATTAGTCAAATTAAGTAGATTCACATCTCTATTTATAACGCTAGTCAACGTTAATCTAGGCCTACCCCGTCCCCTAACACTTCCATCTATCGTTACAACATCGTATCTCTTTACTACTGCCTCTGTTGGTCTCTGTTGAATATGACCAAACCATCTCAAACGATTCTCTCTCAACTTATCTTCTATCGGTGCTACTCCTACCCATTCCCGAATACACTCATTCCTAATCCTGTCTTGTCTAGTCTTACCGCACATCCACCTTAGCATCCTCATCTCAGCTACACTCATCTTCTGCTTTCATTACTACTGTTATTAAATTTACACTTCATGTACTCTGTCTCAGTTCTACCAGAATCCTTTAGATTCAAGTGTTTTTCTCCAAATATCCAACTTTGTATTAACTCCTTCTCTAGTATCATCCACTAACACGATATTATCTGCAAAAAGCATACACCATAGCACATCATCTTGAATATTTCTCGTCAACTCATCCATAACTAAATTTCACTATTTAGAATAAAAATATATGAATTTTAAAAAATTGTCGTATTGTTTTGAAAGGAAAATAATTAAAGAAATTTTAAAAACTTAATAAGTATGAAAGAATCGTCGTAACATGTAATTTAAAATATCAAAAAAATAAAATAAAAAAAGAATTAGGACTTTAAAAATATGTGATTACAATTAAAACTAATGCCATATTTATTAAAAAGTATAATTTTATTTGGATATCTATTTATACTTTAACATGCTTATTTAAAACATAAATAAAAATATTAATAATTTTTAGTTTTAAAATATGATTTTGTAGACTTGCTACATTAACTTTTGAAAGGAATATATTGGAATTTTTTTACAAAAATTGAATATTAGTCATTGAACAAATCTTATAAGATTTAAAATAAAATTTACAATATGAAGAAATTAATGATATTGAAACATATGCATTTTAACAATTTTGAATTTTGAAAAAAATAGATTAGGACTTTCAACTCCAATTATCGTACAAAATTTTTATTTATATAATAATATAAATAAGGACAGGTAATAGATAGATTAAAATTAATTATAAATATAGCTACATTTGAAAAGACATGATTTTGTATAGCTATATTTTAAATTCCAAAATTTATTTTTTAACTTCCTATATAAAAAGATTCAAAATTTTAAATTACATATGATTTTTTTCTAAAAACATATGAACTCATAGTGGAGTAGAAAAAATAGTACCATAAAAGAATAGAGGAGCTGCACATATTAAAGATAAATAATTAAATAATTGACTAACACCTTTAATAGTTTTAAAAAAAATGATTAAAAATAATATTTTCTTATTATAGCTTTGAAAAATTATATGCCTTTGAAGTAATGCTCTGCGCCAACTGTCAATTAACACACATCATGATATTAAAAAATATTAAAAATAATTTTTTTTTAAAAAAATAATGATATACAAATATAAAATTAATAAAAAAAAAAACTTATTAATAATGATTTTGCTTGGATTTTGATCTATCACTTTATAATGAATGATATATTTTTTATTATACAAATGACCTTATCACACCATTTTAGTATTAAAATTCTAGTAAAACAATATTAACCAACAAAAAACAGATAATGGTTGCTAGAGAGGAGGGAGAAATGACAAACAAAATATGAAATACAAAAACAAAAAGTGGTCATAGATAAAAAAGAAGTGTACCTAAAGGGTGAAAGAATTTGTTTAAAGAATACAATAGACTAAACATAAACTAACCTCCAAATTATCTCATAAAGAAAGTTAAAAGACAATGAGTTTATCGTTCCATGAATGTAATATTAATAGGGCGAGGAAGACATGAATGGCTTGAAAAAAGTATAATGCATGATGGCTAGAGTTTTTAAATAAGAGAAAGAATTGGTTAGATAAAGAGTGCACAAGAATATATCTCATCTCTATCAGTCCTGGAAACTGTAAAAGTAGAATGGAGAAGAAGTAATTCAAATTCATGGTTCAGTTGACCATCATTGTAAGTGTGTGCATTCAAAAGTTGCAATGATAATGATAATAACATTAACTCGAGAAAGAATTGGTTAGATAAAGAGTGCACAAGAATATATCTCATCTCTATCAGTCCTGGAAACTGTAAAAGTAGAATGGAGAAGAAGTAATTCAAATTCATGGTTCAGTTGACCATCATTGTAAGTGTGTGCATTCAAAATCAAAAGTTGCAATGATAATAACATTAACTCTTGGTTTTCTGATTTCAGCTACTGAATGGGTAAAGGGGAGGCAGATGGAAGAAGTTGTAACTATTAAGAATACATGAGTTTTATTCCCCTTCTAATTCTAACACACACCACCCACCCAATGAGACAATTTTTTTTCCTATACATGTACTACCTAGTTTCTTATCTTGTGCAAGTTTTGGTTATATTATTTTGATGGGGGTGCTTCTTAGTAGATTTTATATGCTCGTAAGATTCAAACTAGCTTTTGATTTAGACCAGTTTTATGTGATTGTATCTTGTTCTTCCGGCTTTGAGTTGGCAAAGATGCGAAGTTATATACGATTATATAATTCGTTATTTGATGAAATACTAATGTATGTGCATATTTAGCTACTGATTCCCATTGTTATATCTTTTGCTAAATTTCTTCATGTAGCAACTAAATCCATGATGTTATTTCATTTTCATGGTAGCAATGCTGGACTTCACAGCATGCATATTTAGCTCTATGCTATGAAGTACGGACACGGACACGCATACAGACACGGGATACGGGACACGACAATTTCTAAAAAATAGGGACACGGACACGGACATGCTTCATTTTCATGGTAGCAATGCTGGACTTCACAGCATGCATATTTAGCTCTATGCTATGAAGTACGGACACGGACACGCACACAGACACGGGATATGGGGCACGACAATTTCTAAAAAATAGGGGCACGGACACGGACAAGGACACGGACACGGCATTTTAGTGTTTTTAAAGGCTCAAGGCGCACTAAGGCGCTGAAGGTCTCTCGGGGCCTAGGCGCAGGGCGAAACGCGGGCTTTATTGAAGTAAGGCGCACAGTCTTAGTAAAAAATAGAAAAATTAACATAGACTAATCATTCATTGTACTAAGATAATTTTATTAAAAATAAAAAGTAATCAAGATTCAAGACAAAATATATAATAATTTTCAAAGCCATGAAAGTGCATATTACACAACATTTCAATTTTCAGAGATAAAATAATCCACATTCAATAAAATAAAAATAAAAACATAAACCCCAAACATCCAAAATATATATATCCAACAAATACTAATATATGTCTTTAACACTTAAAAACATCAATATCAAAAGAAATGGTAGGTTAGGTCGGTCAGTCAATCATCATCCTCAACATCAATGGCAAGCAAACTATCATCTTCTTCTCCATCAGTTGATTTGTATCCCTCAACATCTTCCTCCTCTGTGTCATCTGAGCCCGTTTCCTCTTCATCTATTAATTGAAGTGGAGTTAATCTTGATGATTTAGATATCCTCGATTGTGCCTTTGAGCGTGAACTTGTTGCTCTACTTGCATGGCTACTTTCTTCTACTCCAGAAGCTCTAGCAACAATGGCCCAAGTCAAGCCATCATCATCATCAAACACAGGCTTATTATCCTCATCTGATTCTCCATCCATCCTCCCAAGCAACCACTCATTGCTTTCATCAATATTTTGCAAAGATATGGGATCAAGAGTGTTGCGCATGTCATATCTAAATCTCAATGTTCTATTATATTTGACAAATGACATTCCTATAACCTCCCGCGAGGTGTTGTTTCACCCGATAAACACCTCAATTTGATACTTTACCACAAAAATTATACTCAAACTTGTTTAAATTATTCTCCTTCACCAAATGGGCATATTGCCACGCCGGATCTTTTCTATTACTTTCCGATGTCATTTTCTACTTAGTACTTACTACACAACACAAAAAAATAAATAACAGAAAAACAATTTCAGTATAATGAATGTAATGTATGCGATGATTTAATTAATGTATGTAATGTATGAATCAATTTTCTATTTTTTTAATTAATGATGAATTAATTAATTTCAGTATAATGATGAATCAATTTCAGTATAATCATAATGGATGTAATGTATCTATTTTTTTCTATTAATTAATGATGAATTAATTAATGTATGTAATGTATGTCATTTTCTATTTTTTATTTTTATTTTTTTAACAGAGAGACTCAAAACAAAGGGAAAAAATAAAAACGAAAAAGAAGAACAGAACTAACTAGCAGAATAAGAAGAAGGGGAAACAAAAAAAAAAAAAAAAAAGAAAAAAAAAAAAAAAATTAAAGCAAAACAGTTGAAAAAAAAAAAAAAAGAAAAAAAAAAAATAAATAAAAGCAAAACAATTGAAAAAAAAAATAAAAGAAAAAAAATAAATAAATAAAAGCGAAAAAAAAAAAAAAAAAAAAAAAATCGATCGAAGCTCTGTCGAAGAAGAAGAGCCCAGTCAGGAGTCGAAGGAGCTTCGACAGAGGTTCGCGACAGAGGTTCAAAGAAGACGAAGAAGAGGAGGAGTACCTAGTTTGAGAGAGAGAAGAGCCCAGTCGGAAGGAGTCGAAGGAGCCCAGTCGAAGGAGAACACAGATTAGGGATTCGATTTGAGTCCTCTTCTGATTTCGCTTGTATTGTATTGTATACGAGTTGTAATTGTATTTGTTGGAGGCTATTGGAACACAATTTTCAGCCGTCAGATTTGAATTAAGCATAAACAGAGAAACCTGACTAGGCGCGCGACTTGCACCTCTCTGCGCCTCTTCCAAGCGCATACAAGGCGCACGACTATTATACTGCGCCTCGCCTGGGCCTCCTCAAGTCGCGCCGACTGCACCTTGCCTCGCTTGGCGCCTAGGCGGGCCTTTCACAACACTGCGGCAGGGGACACGGCAAATTTTTTAATTTTTTCACAAATATTTTTATTTTAATATACATTAATTATTTTATTTATTTATTATATTTTTTAAATAATGTGTTCTAATTAATTTTTTTATTTTATTTTACATACATGTGTTTATTTTTTTTATTAATATATATAATTATTTATCATTTCATAATATGTATTATATATTATCTTATAAATATATTATATGTTATATAATAATTATTATACAACATATAATAATAATAGTTATTATTATAGTTATTATAATAATAGTTATTAACTATCTAAGAAGCACGGACACTTCTAAGAAGGTGACGTATTCGTGTCGGACACCGCCACTCTTTGGACACTATAGGACACGTGTCCGACACCCTTCATAACGTGTCCTATTTTAAAGACCCTGACACTCTTTGGGCACTTAGAAGATACACGTGTTTATCGGTTAGATATATGTAAAACTAATTATATATTTGAACAAAATAACTTAAGATATAATAATAAAACAAAAACCATATAAATTTATAGGAATTAGTGTCACATTCCATTTTTTATTATTTTTGAATGATATATTCATATATATATATAACATATAATAAATACTATATATATATTACATGCGTGTCCCTCGCATGTCGTGTCCTGCATTTTTTGAAAATTAACGTGTCGGCGTATCCGTGTCATATTCTTGTCGTGTCACGTGTCACGTGTCCGTGTCCATACTTCTTAGTTAACTATTATTATTATAGATAGATAGATACGAATAGATATGAATCAAGAGGTAGAGATATGAATCAAGTCAAGAAGATAAAACGAGAGAGAGAGAGAGAGAGAAAGAGAGGGAGAGAACCGAAGAGATCGATCGTGATCGCGAGGGAGAGAGAGAAGGTGAGAGAGAGAGGCTTTTCGAAGTCGTCTGGGTGTTCGACTATTTGATCGACTGATGAAGCTTCGATCTTCGACTGGATCGACCGGATGGAGCTTCAACTGGAGGTCTTCGATCTTCGACTGGATGGAGCTTTGATTGGATCGACTGGATGAAGCTTCAATCGAACATGATATCGCGTGACAGGTTTGTCTCTTCACTCTCTTCCTTCACGCTCTCTCTTGTGTCTCTCCTTCCTCACCGTGTCTCACGTCGTGTCCAAATCTGGTCACGCTTGTCCCCTACAACAAAAAAAAAAAATTAAATTAAAGGGACACGGCATATGGTGTGTCTCGTACGTGTCCCCCCGTGTCCGACACCGCCACGGCGATGATTTTGCCGTGTCCATGCTTCATAGGCTCTATGCACCACAACATGAGAATGTTTAGACTTTTGAGGAACAGCTAGATAAAAAACCATATTATGTCATTAATTATTCTCTTGAAGTAATTATATGGTCCATTCCCATCAACCTTATGAGAATTTTTGGATAACTAAGCAAGTTGATGAGTAAATGCGATTCATGGGATAAATTGAACATGAGACAGCATAGTCCGATAAGAAAGATACTAAATTGTATGTTACTGAGGTCCTGATCATTTTCATCTTGCAATAAACAAGTCTTGGAATGTGGGAAATCCCTACCCCCACCCCTAATCACCGAGGGAAAAAAAGAAAAAGAAAAAGAAAAAGAAAAATATACATCAAAATAGGTGATAGGTATAATACATTTCTTGAGGTGTTTAGGTGTTTGCTCAATGTGCCGCTCTCTGCAAGACCGGTCAAGGAGGGGCTGCTCCCTAAGGTGGAGTGAGCAAGGCAAACTTGACAAGTCCTTGATCCTCGCATTTAAGCCACAATCCTCCAACAATCTTGAGAAGTGGGAGCCTAGTGTCACAGCCTTGGTTTTTCCAAGCCAACCGTGCGGCCTTAGATGCTTATGCACGCCTTGCTTGCACCTAAGTAAGCCTTCCTTGGAAGAGAGCTAGGAGAAGTTTGCACAGACAAATGAGACTTTAGAAAACTTAGAGAGAACACTTGGAGAATGCTAGCTTTGTATTGCTTGAATGCTTGTGATTACACTTGGTCACTTGGGTGGTTTGGGCAAATGAGGCCCTCCCCTTTATATAGCCTTACAAAGAATATTCTAGAACTACTATGCTGGAGAGTGTTCTAGACACTTCCCCTAGCTAGAGTATTCTAGGACTATTCTAGTATGTACATGTCTAGAGGGATCTACATAACTCTACAATTATGTAAAAATATCTACAAAACTCTAGGGAGTTCTAGAAGCTTCTAGCATGCTCTGTAATCTTTCGGAGCTTTCTAGTCATCCCCTTGATTGCTCTAGAGAATTCTAGGTTCTTCTATTGAAGCCTCCCATCTTCTAGCCATTCTCTAGAGAGTTCTAGCAATCTCCTTTGGTTTCCAACGCGTTCTAGTGAGGACAACATTAGGATTTCTCGGTCCGTGACATTCTCCCCCACGTAATGCGGCGACGCCCTCGTCGCGCCTTCCTCGCAAAGTCTTTGTGTTTGCTTTTTGGAACCGCCACAAAGCATCTGCCTTGCTTTCTGGTAGTCCTTTCCTCTTGTGATCCGCCTTTCTCTTAGCTGGATGTCTCTTAGGTCTCTCTCCTCCTTTGCCTTGGAGGATAGCTTGATAGGTAGTCTCTCCCTTCTTTGATTTTTCCTTGACTTGCGTTGCGGAGAGAACCTTCTTGGCCGCTTGCTCGCTAATTATCTTTTTGGTAACGCCTTCTACCTTGTTCTTGTTCGTCCCCAACTCAATAGCTGATAGAAGTTGGAGTTTAGTATTTCCCTTGCTCACCATTGGCACCATGTAAGGCCCATCCTCCATGATGCACATAGTGTTGTCGCGAGGCAATATTGCCACGTTGAACTCTCGCAGGAACTCCATCCCTAGCACCACATCATAGTCATCGAGTGATGCTATTGAGAAGTTCACTTTCCCGCGCCATCCACCAAGGTGCAACTCAACCCCTCAAGCCAGGCCCTCCACGGGCTTTGCCTTGGTGTTCACTGTCTTCATTAATGCTTGACCCCTGTCAAGTCTTAGACCACGCCGCTTGGCCTCTTCCGCCTTGATGAAGTTATGCGACGCGCCGGTGTCGACCATAACTTGGGTTGCCTTTCCATTGATCTTGCCATCTACATACATCAATCCCTTGTCCCATTGGGTTGATGCAGTAGGCTTCGCTTCGATGGCACCAAGCAGCTGCAGAGATCCCATGCAAGCCTGCTCTTCCTTTTTTTGCTTTTCCAGCATTGCGCTAAGACTCTTCCTCTTAGGGCAATCGCGCGCCCAATGTGGCCCATCGCAGATGAAGCAGTTGTCTTTGGGCTTGCTTTCTTTCTTTGACTCATTCCTCCAGTCCTTACCCGTTGGTGACTTGCTTCTACCTTCTCTATACCTTGGAGCCTCAGAATCCTTCCATTCTTTGACCCATGTGGCTCCCCCACCTTTGCCATGACCCTCCTTGGTGGAATCCGAGTTTGAAGCTTCCGGCTTAGTGTATTCCACCAATGTCTCAGCCACGGCGAGTGCAGTGGAGATATCCTTGACGCCTCTTCGTTGTAGTTCTAACTGTGCCCACTGCTTAAGCCCAACTGTGAAGTTAAAGAGCAAGTCATCATTACTCATGTTAGGAATTTGAAGCATTAACCCGGAGAATTCTTGGACGTAGTCCCAGATAGAGTGGGTGTGCTTCAACTCCCTCATCTTTAGTCGTGCTTCATATGTCACATTTTCGGGATAGAATTGCCTCATAAGTTCATTCTTGAATTGCTCCCATGAAGAAATAGTGCAAATGCCTCTTTCCATTTCCGCATGTTTACGACGCCACCAAACTCCAGCTAACTTAGTGAGGTAGAGAGAAGCAGTGCGTACCTTTGCAAGCTCATCGTTTAAGTTTAAAGCTTCAAAATACCTCTCTAAGTGCCAAAGGTAGTCATCTAGCTCTTTGGCATCCCGCGTGCCATCAAACTCCTTAGGCTTTGGCGCTTCCAACCTTGGAGTGAATCCCGCATTGGTGGCAACACCGCCACTAGCCACAGCTCGCTTGCATATGGCCCAATCCGCCCGTGTCTCCTCCAAGCCTTCCTTCAGCTCTTGGACTTGGTCTTGGAGTTGGCATATAGCCTTCAGGATCCGTTCCTGGAAGTCATAGCTTTCTTGCCTCTGCACTTCAGAGTTGATCCGGATGGTGTCCCGCACGGACTCAAGTAATTCCTCGACTTGGCTTTCCACCTTGCCATCGAATTGCTCCATCCCTTGTTCCAGCCGATCAAGACGCTCCTTGACATTGGCCATAGCCACTTCAACCTTGACCACTTGGGTCTCCATGGCACTCATGATGTCACGCGAATCTCCTCCCTCTTCTCTCTTCTCTCTCTCTATTTCTCACTCGTATCATCCGTATTTCAGATCTGAAAATTTGTGGATTGATACAGCTCACCTCGAAATGGTTCATGTGCTGTAAAGCAAAGAATTTGAACCCGTGATTGAGCCTCTGAATAATAAAGGTACCACATCTTTTGGTTTTTTGTTTTTTTCTTTTGTTTGAACCAACATATGCATCATCCGTATTTGTTTTGTTTTTTTTTTTGAAAATAATCAGCGAAAAAAAGCCCTGTAACGGGCCGTTAAGGCCGTTACGCCACCGTTACGACCGCTATGTCGGCCGTAACGGCCGATACACCTGTGAATTTCATTCACACCGCAAAATCGGGAGTAACGCGTGGTGCCTACCACCGAAACCGTTACGTAACGACCGAAACCGTTACGTAACACCGCATTTTTAAACCTTGCACGCGACTTATCCTTGGCCTTCTTGCCCAAGTTTGCATCAGTCTCCCTTCCTCGGTTCTCTTCGGTGTGAGTTACTTCCGACATAGTGCCCTTCCTTCCTTAGTCACAACGCCTTCGTAACCTTTGCTCTGATACCAACTGTCACAGTCTTGGTTTTTCCAAGCCAACCGTGCGGCCTTAGATGCTTATGTACACCTTGCTTGCACCTAAGTAAGCCTTCCTTGGAATAGAGCTAGGAGAAGTTTGCACACACAAGTGAGACTTTAGAGAACTTAGAGAGAACATTTGGAGAATGCTAGCTTTGTATTGCTTGAATGCTTGTGATTACACTTGGTCACTTGGGTGGTTTGGGCAAATGAGGCCCTCCCCTTTATATAGCCTTACAAAGAATATTCTAGAACTACTATGTTGGAGAGTGTTCTAGACACTTCCCCTAGCTAGAGTATTCTAGGACTATTCTAGTATGTACATGTCTAGAGGGATCTACATAACTCCACAATTATGTACAAGTATCTACAAAACTCCAGGGAGTTCTAAAAGCTTCTAGCATGCTCTGTAATCTTTCGGAGCTTTCTAGTTCTGCCATCCCCTTGACTGCTCTAGAGAATTCTAGGTTCTTCTATTGAAGCCTCCCATCTTCTAGCCATTCTCTAGAGAGTTCTAGCAATCTCCTTTGGTTTTCAACACTTTCTAGTGAGGTCAACATTAGAATTTCTCGGTCCGTGACACTAGGCTCTTCTCCCAAACTATGATGTCAAAGTAATGTCATCAACAGAGGTAATGATAGTATATAGAAGTCTCTGCTTGGGGTTGAAACTGAGACATAGGGAACACATGGTCAAGCTAAGAGTTGGACCATGTTGCTTGCCAAGTGGGAGTGACCAAGCAGAGGGTATCTTGGCTTGGTGTCAAGGTGCGCCCATCCAAGGGTCAACACCTTGATGCCACACTCATTTGTGCCCTTTGGAGAACTAAAAACATGCCTAAGAAGTTGTTGGTGCAAGTGCAAGCAAAGGCGCAAAGCATAGTGCAAGACAACCCATGGCATGTCATTGGACAGCCCATGCAAGGCCACAGCCAGCAGCAACTTTGAAGCAACTTTTGGAGGGTCAAATGCAGTATTTTTGTCTTGTAAATTTTTATGTAAATACCTTAGTATTAAAGGTGTTTTGGGTCTAAGTATTATAATTTTTCTCTTTTTGTAAAATTTTTAAAAATCCATTATGACTTCTCAAACATAGTGGATGTTTCCTCTTACCAAATAGATAATGGCTTAACAAGCTATATTAAGGAGGGGGTACCCAAGTGTTGAACCAAACCACTTGTGCCTTTAAAGTAACCCAACCTAGCCAATGGTAAGGCAATTTTTGTAGCACTTTTGGTGCATTATTCAACTATTGTAATGCCTTCTTTTGATCCATAAAAAGTTCATTTCGCCTTTAAATTGTGCAAAACTTTTCTAGTGTTGCTTGTTTAATTTTAGCTTATCGCTTGCTATCTTGTGACTTGTCTCCAAACTTATCGGCTCTTCAACTAATTAGTATTGTGTTTGCTTGTCTTTGCAAATCCTTTGAGCATTATTAGCGGGCTAGTGAAGAGAGTTAATTAGCGCCATACAACTTGCATATCTATTGGCAAGACTTCCGCACAGCCGGTGTGTGACACTTGGTCAAGTGGGTAATCTTGGCTACTCCTTGGGTGCCCAATTAGAATGAGTGTATGAAGGGCTGTGGACACACATACATAAGAAATAAAATTCATCTAGATTTTGTTGAGGAACTCAGGCCCTGTTTGGGAACAAGCTAAGTAATTTTTTGAATATTTGGCTAAAATATGAGCTAAAAAAAATTAGTATGTTTGAGATGGCTTTTTGACTTTTTACGAAAAGATGTGCAAAAAGTAGAAAGAAAATAGATTTTTTGACTTTTTGGTATGAGTTGTTGGCTTTTTGATTTTTTTAGGCCTCGTTTGGGAACAGGCTAATTTAGTAACTTTTTGGCTATTTGGCTAAAAAGGTAGGTAAAAAAAACTTGTATGTTTGGGATGACTTTTTGGCTAATTACGAAAAGATGTGCAAAAAGTAGAGAGAAAAGAGAATCTTTGACTTTTTGGTATGGGTTGTTGGCTTTTTGACTAATTTAGTAACTTTTTGGCTAATTGGCTAAAATAGCCTCTTACCAAACGAGGCCTTAGTAACATTTTGACTTTTTGGCGAAACGGGTCGCCTCCCAAACGAGGACTCAATATTATAGTGATGGATTTGAAGGATTTGCTATTCAACTTTTGTGTTATAGGTTAAAGAAATTTTTTTTTGACACACTGTTGTGGATTGCAAATTTGTTAATCCACACCTGTTTTTATTTATGCAAAGAGTAGAAATCTATCTAGGCAATCTTAAATTCCTCTTTTCAGTGACTATTTTTCTTTTTGAAAAACCTATCTCATCCTCTGTTCCAGTCATGTTTTGTGAAATTTCGTGTATGTGTGCATACTGTTTCAACAATTTTATCTTTTAAAGCTTGCAACCAGAGGATGCTTCTTCATAAGAGTGTTGGCAGATTTCTGTTTCCTAAAATGCAGTGTTATTCGGTGATATATTGCAGGGAAATTGCAAAACATCTTTCTCTCCCACCAGTTAAGCTGCACTGCAGCATGCTTGCTGAGGATGCAATAAAGGCTGCTGTCAAAGATTATGAAGCGAAGCGTGCAAAATCAGGTGCCAGTTCAGAGGCTGCACCTGCTGAGAAAGCAGCTAATGCTTGAGATGATTATGAAAAAAAAAATGGAGATTTCTTTAGAAGCTTCTGTCTTTTGATGTTGACACCTTGTGGTTATATTGCAATAAAGCATCTTACATATAATTGCTTTACAAGATGCGTGCTTTTTGCTACTCTTTTTCTTTTCTTTTCTTTCTCTCTCTCTCTCTCTCTCTCTCTCTTTTCTTCCTTTAATTCCTGGATGTTATAGAGCAGAGACAAGTTTATTATTGGATATTCGTGGTGGTGCTATTATCTTCTTTTGGGAAGGGATTCAGTTGAGCAAGAAGTCTACATCTTCAATTGTTGCATGTACCATATCAGATAAATAAGAAATGGAGAAATTAATTGTAAAATAATAGAGAGCATGTGAGACATCTGTCCTGATGTAAGTAAGAATTGTGCTCTGGAGCATAGATTTTACTTGTAATTTCTTGATTTGCAATTAAATTTTTTCATTTATTTGTTGTTCCCTTCTTTTAATTTGTTTTAATTTCAGTGATATGTAAGCTAATGGTCATGCCATATTGTGAGCAAGGCTTTTGGTTTATGAAAATTGTTAATGTACACTAAGCCTAACCCACTAACCTAACCCACTACATCCACCCCACTAAACCTAACACACTTACCATCTCCACTACCACCCACCACCTCCACTACCATCCACTACCACCACTCACCTACCTCACCTACTCCCAAATCCTCTCCTATATAATAGCTTGTAATATACAAAATATATACAACAATCTTGTAATATATCAATCAATACAACAATCAATCATAATACATACAATTTATTTTCTCTCTTTCTCTATACATTGAATTTTACATGGTATCAGACCAAGGTTAAAGATCTTGGTGTTCTTCGCCTTCCGGCGGGCGGCAACCTTGCCTTGACCGCCCGCCGGATCTCAACCAATTCAAACCCTCCCCCTGCTTCCGCTTACCAACGAGTTTCTCTTTAGGTAACAATATCACAGGGAACAGTTTGATCTTCCCATCGTCAGCAACAACGACTGGATCTGCACCTTGAGTAATCACAGTAATCCTCTTGTGTCTTCACATTCATCACTGTCAACACACAAGCTTCATGTGCTACAGGCTCTGCTTCCGCTTAGCATACACAGCTCTCTCAAAACAAAACAAAACAACACACACTCTCTTTCTCTTCTAAAGCCCTCTCTCTTCCAGCGGACGAGGCAAACAACAATAACATGACTTCAATTTCTCCGCCCCTGCCCCAATCCCTGTCTCTCCTCCGCACCATCTCCGCCGCCGCCTTCCACCACCGCCTGCCGCCGTACCTGCGACTTCCCCCTGTCTCCACCTCCGCCACTCGGTGCTTCCAGCGCCTCTCCGGACCTCGCAGATCTCTCGCCGTCGCCTCCAGCGCCACCTTCGTCCCTCCCCGCAGTGGAGTATATATTGTGGGTGATTTCATGACCAGGAAAGCGGATTTACATATGGTAAAGCCTACCCCTACTGTGGATGAAGCTTTGGACATTCTAGTAGAACAAGAATCACTGGTTTCCCTGTCAGTGATGACAACTGGAACTTGGTTGGCCTTGTTTCTGATTATGACTTGTTGGCATTGGACTCCATATTAGGTGCTGGACCGACGGATACAAGCATGTTTCCAGAACCCTTCACGACATATCTCTCTCTCTCTCTCTCTCTCTCTACTCAAGGGTGACCACTTTCCAACCCCTTATCCAACACCTTTTGCACATACCCATAACTTTTTCTTTTATTTTTTTTAACCCCATCTCCACCAAACACGCCAGACAGCCTACTTATCACCAAACCACTTGCAGCACATGTATGGCCATTATAATCTTATGCTCGCAAAATCAACCCCCATGAACCACTTAATTTATTCCATTCTCTGCCCCCATACACTCAACACATTGCCCCATCCACTCACATGCACGACATCCATTCTCTGCTTATTATTTTTTTTTATGTTCCTTCACCAAAAAAAAAAAAAAAAAAAACCAAACAAAAAAACACAAAACAAACCAACAACCCACCGTTTCCCACCTTTATTATTTTTATTCATCATTCTATATTCCTCATCCCCATGCTCCATTAAACCACAACCAACCCCCAAAAAAAAAAAAAAAAAAAAAAAACCACATTTTACCAATTTGCACAACCCCCAAATTTTATTCATCTCCGGGATCAACCCCGATCCCACTTTTACATAAAACAAAAACAAAAAAAAAAAAACACAAAACAAAACAACAACCACACCCACATCGGGATTTTTCTTTTCTACTCTGCAGCCGGTCTCTTCTTCTTGCCTCCGTCCTGGGCAGCCCTTGCCGGTGTTGCCTCCGTGCTTCCTAGTCCACCGAGCACGTTCACTCCCCCATACTCCTCCACTGCAGCATATGGCGGCCCTCCAAATCGGAACATCACGTTGGCCTTCCGCTTCAGCTCCTTGTTTTCTGCCCTTAGCACGCTTATCTCTGCTCGCGCATCCTTATACATGCGTTGGAGCAGAGCCAGCTGGGAGTTTAAATTGTTAGTTTTCATTGCATTACATATGCAAGTGTCGCAAAGTCATGAATGATGATTAAGACGTTAATTCATTGTTTTGCTTTCGATTTTTTTTCCTTGCAATACGGTACCAAAAAGCAAATGGTATAAAGGTTAGATAGGTCATCAGCCATATTGCATAATTTATTAGCTTAATAATGACTATTTATTAAGGCCAACTATGCTGCAGACCCCAGTGGGGGTCGCACCCCAGTGAGATAGCGAGTCTCCATTGACTGAAACTCAAAAAAAAATAAAAATAAAATAAAATAATTTTTTTTGGTCCAATCACGGTGCGCCACCTCACTGGGGGTCGACCCCCAGTAGGGGTCTGAAGCATTTTTCTTATCAGCAGTGCTACAGACCCCCAGTGACACATGTCGGCCTGGGGTTGGCTGAAAACTCAAAAAAAAAAAAAAAAAAAACTGTTTTTTTTGGACCAATGGGAGGGGACCCCAGTACCCCCACTGGGGGTCCAAAGCTTAATTCCAAAAAAATATTCATGTAACCCACCTTGATTGGGACACAAAGTTTTTTTATTTATACAAAATATTGATCAAATTTGAAGCAGGGAAAAAACAAAACAGCTTTCGACATGGCAATGCAAAGAGGCAAATCAACCCCAACGGCACACAAACACTCATTCCTTTTCCTTGATTGTCATGTCCTCAGTTACATGCCCACATCTTCATTCAAATCATACTACAACTACTATATAAATGCTTCTCTTCCTATGCCATTACATGCCCAAACCAAACACATCTTCACACACTACAACGACCTACTCTTTGAACAAGAATGGAGCTCTCAAAACTTCTCATCACCCTCCTCCTCATCCTCCTCCCCTCAACCCAAGCCGCTAACTCCGACCTCTTCCGCGAATAGGCACGCCTTTTGATGCATTCGGGCACGCCTTTTGATGGCACGCCTTTTGAGGGCACGACTTTTGAGGGCTCGATATATATCTACATGTATATTTTTTTTTTGGGCCGCCTATCTACCCACTCATACAGTGTCTTCTACCCCGGTCAGCTTTATCAATCCCTTTGTTTCAACCTCAAATAGGTTTCTATCTTCACACCTATTTGAGTTTGAGGGGGGGTTATACCAGTATAATGTATAAGTCGCCCATGGCGCACTCCCTAAGTCACCCCCTTGGTGCACCACCACAATTTTCTACAACGGTCCGACATGACCCCATAAACTGTCTGCTACATCGGTCTGACACGACCATACCGTGTCTCCTATCCTGTTTTATTTGTCAGTTTATTTTTTTCTGTTTTGTTACTCTCTTCAAACTTAAGTTGGTTAGTTCCTATCCTCCTTGAGTTTGAGGGGGGCTGTTAATGTACACTAAACCTAACCCACTAACCTAACCCACTACATCCACCCCACTAAACCTAACACACTTACCATCTCCACTACCACCCACCACCTCCACTACCATCCACTACCACCACTCACTTACCTCACACCTCTCCTATATAATAGCTTGTAACATACAAATCAATACACAATACACAACAATCTTGTAATATATCAATCAATATACATCAATTTATTTTTACAAAAATGACGATGACTGTTGAGAAGTGAATATGTTCTATTGTATTTTATTGAGTTCAATATCTCTTGATTTTTGATTATGTGGAGAGCAAGATGATATGAACCTCTGAACTCCCTACAAGATAGCACAATTGTGAGGGCTGCCCCACTAATGGTGCTCGGCCAAAAGAGTACTCTGATGTAGGGATGGCAATGGGGTGGATATTAATTCCCCATCCCCATGGGTTCTACCCTCCCCATCCCTAATGGGTTTGGATTTCCCCCCAACCCAACTTGACCCTCATATAAATAAAGAAAACAAAAGTGAGAAGCAGAAAAACAGAGTGAGAAAGAAAATGGCAATTCCCAGGAAAAAAAACAGCCACTAGGGAAATGATTCCATGATGAGACCAATTAGTGAGCTTGAATTTTCACAAAAGATAACAAACACCCACAAAATGATTCAACATTGAACTCCATATGGATAAGTTACAATCATCGACCAAAATTTCAAAAAATAAAAAACAGAGAAACAGAGTAAGAAAGAAAATGCAAAATTCTGGGAAAACAAACACACAATATCAACATGATCACACGATTCGATTCAAACAAGAGAGAAAGAGAACGACAGAGAAAGAGAGAACGACAGAGAAATAGAAACTCACCACGTCAGAGAACCACCGTTGTAATCGCCGACGGAGATTGCCGCCGCAAGATCGTTGTCGTCGCAAATCGCCGATGCTGGACTGAAAGGCTGAGAGAGAGTGACTGAGAATGAGAGCCCTAGTTCTGCCCGATGTATATTTAAAAAGCGGGTAAATTACACTGACACGGTGAGGTTTATATTTATTGCCGTTCTTTTATATTTGGGAAATTATATTAAATTTTTTAGAAAAACTTATTTATAAGTCTTTTTAAAAAAAACTTATTTATAAGTCTTTTTTCATATATTTATGATAGATTAAGTTTTGTATAATTTTTTATAGAGTCTCAAGTCCTATTTAGATAGAAATGTATTCCACAAGATCCTACATAAACGTTACGTGACGTGACATTTACATAAACGTAACGTAACGTGACACTTACATAAACGTAACGTAACATGTCACGTTACGTTTCGCAAACTTAATGAGTTTTTATTTTTTAAAATTGAATGTGAAAATGTTATTGGTTTATGTTGGTATCACGTTACATTTCATATAATATATGATTTATGGCAACATTTAATTTCCTAAGAAATTGAATGTTACCATAGATCATAGGTGTCACGTTACGCTTATGTAAGTGTCACGCTACGTTACGTTTATGTAGATATGATCTATAGTAACATTCAATTTCCTATATAGAAAATTGAATGTTGCCATAGATCATAGGTATCACGTTACGTTTATGTAGGTGTTACATTACGTTACATTTATGTAGATATGATTTATGATAATATGTAATTTTAAGAAATTGCATGTTACTATAGATTATAAGTGTCACGTTACGTTACGTTTATATAGATATGATTTATAGTAACATTCAATTTCCTATATATAGTTTTACTATTATTTATGATATTAACAACTAATATTGAGGGTAAATGTGTAACAAACTTCCCACAGGACTTATGGGAACATAAGTTTTTTTAGTAGGATCATATGTAGCATAATTCTCTCTAATAGGACTTATAAATAATTTTTCATTTTTTTAATCAGTGTAATTATTTGATGGTATTAATTTTTAAATTAAAATGACATATTCACCCTTAACATTTACATATACTTTAAAGGGTAATTACATTGATACCCCTGAGGTTTCAATTTAATACGGATTCCCACTGACATTTAAAAGAAAAAACTAGTTTAATAAAAATAAATATGAAGAAATATATTTAATTTGTAAAAAAATATTTCTAACGACTCGAATGATAAAAATTAAATAAGAATGATAATTATTTTTTATTTCTTAATCAAATTATTTTTAAATTTTTAATTTTTTTTTTCTAAAAATCAAACCATACATAATCTAAGAATCTTTTGATAAGCCATTTTTTACGTTGGTAACTTATTTAATTATTTTTTAATTTTACGACATTTTTACCATTTGAGTCCTGTTTGTGAACTATTTCAATTTCAATTTTCAATTTATATTTACAAAAATTTTAAAAACTGTCATAAAAACTTGTCAGTTTGTAAATTTGAGGAAAAAAACGTAAATTCAAAAAATGAGCTTACGTTGGTTTTTAAACAGAAATTTAAAAATTTGACTAACAAAATAAAAAAAAATCAATAATTTTTTTTTCAAATAATTTTTTTCCCAAAATGATTTTTTTTTTCAACTAATACTAACTGAGGGAGCAATTGGTAATGCAACTTTAAACCTTAGGGAGGGGATTGTAATTTTTAAAATGTGAGGGATGTCAATGTAATTTACCCAGTGAAGGCAAAATTAATATTTAAAAAAATTAAATTGCTGACATTAGCAAAATCTGTTAACAGTTAATTAACTGATGGCGCAATTTGTAATGAAACTTTAAACCTCAAAGAGAGAGATAATTTCCGAAATGTGAAAGAGAAACTGTAATAAACATAAATCTCAAGGGGTGTCAATGTAATTTACCCTTAAAAAGCAAATTACTTAAGCTTATTGAAGTTTAACGAAATTATGGATTTTTCTTAAAGTTTTAAAAATTACATTATGTTCTATCACAATTAACGTTATAAACGGGTATTAAAAATTAACTAAAATGTCCTTTGATAAATAAGGGTAAATTACTACATCACTTAAGATTTAGCTAAATTATAGATTCCTCCATGATTTAACTAAATTACAGATTCTCCTGAAATTTAGCTAAATTATCATTTTAAATAAGTTATGAAATGCAAAATTAAAATGGAAAAACACTTGTCAAAGTACAAAAAAAATTAAAATTTTAGAGACTAAAATTTATGGACAAAATTATTTTTAGAGGACCAAATATTTTTGTTACGAAAAGTGTCGTCATTATATTTTTAGTAACGAAAATTGAAGATTAGTAACTAATTATTATCTTTTTGGCATCAAATTTTTTGTGTCAAAAAATAAACCATCTTTAGGCCAAATTATTTTATCTCTAAAAGTCTATTTATTATTGATATTTTTGAAATTTTGTCGCTAAAACCTTACTTTTTACTTTTAATGGTGACTTTTTAGCGAGTATGCTTATGACATGTCTTTTGTAACAAAATTTTCACTTTTAGAAATAAAAAAAATTGGTCTAAAAAACTCTTATATGTTGTAGTGTCAGATGTTAAAAATATCATAAAATTAACAAACAATTAAATAAGTTAAAAACACAAGAAATGATTTGTCAAAAAATTCTTACAATATGTTTGGTTTGATTTTTAGAAAATTATTTTTTTTAAAATTAAAAATTAATTTGGTTGAGAAATAAAAAATAAAAAATGATTATTATTTTTATATAATTTTATCTTTTGAGTGGTTAGAAATTATTTTTACAAATTAAATATATTTTTTCATATTTATTTTTATTAAATTATTTTTTTTTAATTCTATTTTTTTTTTCTAAACAACAAACCAAATATGGTCGCCAAAACGTAGGTTGCATTTGATAGAGTTTTAAAATTATGATGTGAGAATAGAGTTATATTTTGAGTTTGTGAGTTTTGAAATTATGATTTAAGTGTGAAAGTTTTTTTAGTTATGAATTTTGAATTGAGTTTAAAATAATTGATGCAACATATGCTATTTGATTAAAAAACTTACAACTCATAACCAAACAAATAATCCAAAATTCTATTCAAAATTCATAAAAAAATTTAAAAAATTCAGAAAATATTTTTTATTTAATATATAAAAAACAACAGGTGTTAATCGTCAATATATATATATATATATTTGCACTATCTCAATCAACCGGCTGGACGACCAGGTAAACCAAATTTCAAAATTCAAATCGTGCCTGAAACGAGTTTTCAAAAGTGATGTGAAATTAATTTTTGAAAGTTGTAACCAAATACCATACTCAAATATGGGCGTGGAGTCCTGATTAGAACTCCACACCAAACACACTCTTAATCTTTTTCTCTTTCTTTTTTTTCATCTAACATAATTCTTTTGTAAATTTTGGTGATTTATCAAAGAAATTTCAGCCGGGGCAATATCGTCTATCAATTTACATTTTGGTGATGTCAACAGATTATTCTTAACATTTAGTTAATGGTAAGGATTAAGTTAGTATGCAAATATAAATCCCAAAAAACAGAATATAATTTCTAAAATCTGAAGAGAAATCTCATAAAAAGTGTAGATAATTTGCCCATTTTAAAAATATCACTTGTCCAGTCCGACGGGTTAGGGACACGAGAAACTTCATATATTTAGGTGGGATTTTAATGGGTACCATAGGATACGTTTCCCATTGCTACTCACTCACACCCTCCCCATGAAGAACTAGTTTTGAACTTTTAATTTACACAGAGAGTGTATTAACAAATAGTTTTTTTTTTTTTTAATTTTTTTTAAGAGGGTGTATTAACAAATAGTTAATAATAATTAATTACATTTAGAGTACTTTTATATTTTTATTAAAATTTTACTTTCACTTTTATTTGTGATCACTTGAATAATATATATATACATATTTTAAATAAAATTTAATAAAAATATATATAACGGGTTAAAAATGTCGCACTTATGTGTTAATTTATGTTTGTCTCATTAACTTAATTTAATTTGAATAGAAAAACAATATTGTAATTAAGTTCTTTTACTTAAATATGAACCATTTACAGAATCAGACCGAATCTTCTTACATAGATGTGAAACTTATTGCATGCCAATATGGTTGTATCTGGTTTTGTAATTTTTAGATTTTTATTATAATTTAAACAAAAGTCAAATTAAAATGGAAGCAACTTGCCTTTAATCTTATTTTTGGACTAGAGAGACCAGTTTTTACAGTTTTAGATCCGTCTTAGTGATTTGAACTATTCAAATTATAAGACACGTTATGCAAATCATTGATGCAAAAAATAAAGTCAATCGAATTTTGATAGCTACATGATTAAATCACATTTCTCTTTAATAAAATGAACGACTAATGTGATTTAAAAATAGACTATTTTTTTATACAAATGTAAACGGATCATATATTTACCAATCAATTTAATTTTTTACACAAATAATTTACATATTAAATCTTATAATTTAAACAATTCAAATTATCAAAACACACTCAAAATAGAGCCATGCACCCTCCAGTCAAAAAAAGAGAGGGGAGGTTTCAAATGAAAATTTTGGCAAAATGTAAAGGCGGTAAATGTAATTTACTAACCCCTCAAAAAACAAATAAAACGTGAGGCAGTGTTTCTGTTTGTTTTTTTTATTATAAATTACTGATATCCATTCCATTTCATTCTTCTTCTCCAATGCAACTCTCAATTTAAATACATACATATATATATATATATATATATATCTATATTATTATTAAAAACCAACATGAACTTTGGTATCCTGAAACCTTGCTTAGAAAATTTTTTCCATTTTAGAAAAAATGACCATAACTTCTTAAATGATTATATTATTTTTACACTAATATCAGTTTGTAGTTAAAGGTAATATGATAAATTCAAACCAATCAATTCCACTACCCCACGTTTTCCAATGGCATAGCAGTTCTAAATCAGTTTCAACATCTTCGAATTTTGTTTTGAACGATTGAAACCTTAGGGGGACAAAAACATTATTAGAAACAATTTCTTCTTGATCTCTTCTTCTAGCCAGTGAGAGCACAGCAACGAGGCTCTCCTGAGGAGACGATGACACATGGAGGAGTGAGAACCTAGAGAGAGAAAATACTTACATACAGATATGCATATATATATATATATATATATATGTATTTATGTATATGTAGAGAGAGAGAGAGAGAGAGAGATCATTGGTTTATTGAGTGCTTCCGGATAGGTACCGTTGTCTTCACTTCTACAAAAACCCACCATCATCGACAAGTCTCTTAGAACTTTGACAGGTAATGATATTGGGAAAGCTTATTGAAAATGCTTACACTTGCAGACCAAGAGTAGGTCATGGCATTGGTGATATTGACTTATTGAAAATGCTTACACTTGCAGACCAAGAGTAGTTTTTATTTCTTTATTACGTTCTTTGTAAAAATAAAATAAAAAAATAAAAAAAAATTGTACAGATTTTTTATATATATTATCTTGGTGAGTATATTTTTATTTTATTTGAGATAATACAGAAATATATGAGAATGTGTGTATATATATCATATCAAATTCAAAAAAAAAAATTATGCAATTGAATATATAAATTAAAAAAAAAAAAACAAATTGAATGAGGATGTGTTAAAATTTTTATCAATTGAAACGTAGTGTTCCTTAATTCAATTTTTATTGACTCAATCGCATAAATTTTTTTTTAAAAAGATGCGTGTGTCTTAACCGCTAGTGTGTGTATATATATATGCATATAAAATGTTTTATATCTGTAGATTGAGTAAATGTCATATTGGTTATTGATGTCAGTTTCAAGTATGTCAACTTTCAAACAATTTTTTATACATCTTCAATTCAACATTTCAAACTTTTTCACTCATTCATGGCAGTTATATGTTCATGAATCTCTTTTTTTTTTTTTGTTGTTCTTGTTTGAATCTAATTTTTGCTGCGTCAGACTTGGAATAGTTATCACAACAACTGGAAATGTGTACTGGACTTGATTTTCTTGGGATTGGTTCTGTAAATATTCTTATTCTCTCTTCTTTTTTCCTTCCACTCAAAAAATGAATTAGAATTTAATTCCGCGTAGAGTTTGATTTTATATTCTCACGTTTTGATGGTCAATTTAATCTGGGTTTCTCTTTTTTTGTTGATCCAAAGCCCCTGAACCTTCATTTTATTCTTTCTTTGATTTTGGGTTGCAGAGAATTGATCATTTCACAATGGTTCAAGCTTGTTTCTGTGATTTCTAGATTCAATTTCTCTCTAATTCTCTGTTAATGGAGACTGATTACAGTAATCGACATCAATGTCGGTTGTTCTCTGTTCCATTGGAATCTACTAATGGATATGTAAGTGGGTTCAGAGATTTAGCTCCTAACAACATAGAATTTAAGCTTTCTGGTAGTGAAGATCATGATCATGATCAAGATCAAGAACAATCAATTTCAGACTGTGAAAATGGGATATCAGGACCAAACATTGAGCAATCTCAGTTGTTAGGTGATGGGTTAATCAAAGTTCCTGTCAGGTCCTTTCTCGTTGCCAATTTCGCGAACAAGCTTAGTTTAATTGAGTTGTAATTTTTCCTTGTTTTTTGGTCTTCCTGCTCGAGCCTGACAAGCTGCGCTTGAGCGGAGTTTGCACACTCTCAGAAGTTTGGAGGTGTGATTTTATGCTCGAGTGTAAGGTCCCATGCTCGAGCGGATACCCTGTCTAGTCACACACGGCAAGTGCTACGCTCGAGCGGCAAGTCCTACGCTCGAGCGGGGATCGCGCCCCTATTTTCTATAAATATCTGTTTCAATCCGTTTTTAGGGTTATGACTTCCAAATCTTCTTTGAGGGTTCTAGGGTTTTTTTCTAGAGCAATTTTGTGAGCTTTCTTTGATGTTTGATTAAGTGTTAAACTCACATGGTTTGACAAGCATACATCAAAGAGTTTGATTGTTTGAGTGTTTTTCATCAAGAGTGTTCTTCTTCGATAGAATCCGGAGATTTAAGCGTGGAGTATTCGAAGGAGTTCGAAGTTGTGCGCAATCGTTGATTCGACACGGACGTTGTGGATTCAACATCAATCTGATTAATTCCGAGACAAAGGTTGTAGTGAAAGAGATATAGATTGTTGAAGATAAATTGACAGAGTTTGGGTAATTTGTTTGGTTAATTTGTATTCTTTCTTACTTTCATAATGGATTGATTTGTGGCGTTTAGCCCGTGATTTTTTAATCACAATTGGAGGTGCTTCAATTGTGGTTTTTCCATGTAAAAATCTATTGTGTTGATATATTGATTTTGAAACGACAATCTAAATCACTTTCGTATGTGCTAGATGATTTAGATTGTCTGTTTTAATTGTTTGGGTATTATTGCAACTAATCTAGTCTGAATCACGAATTACTTAGGTTTTTCAATTGGTATCAGAGCAGGTTATTCTTTGTTTTTTTTTCAAAACTATAGGAGTGTGATTTTGTGTGATTTGTGATATGGATTCAATTAGCGAGGGTAACTTGATCCATAGATCTCTGTTACTCGATGGTATAAACTATTCTTATTGGAAGGCTCGTATGAGAGCATTTTTAAAATATATCGATGAGAAAGTTTGGCACTGTGTGCTCTACGGGGTGGAGTGAATCTGTTGTCCCCATTGATGGTGCTGATATCCCCAAACCACTCAATAGATGGGACGCAATCGATTAAAACTCGAGTTGCACTACAACAAAATTGAATTGCCGTTATATGACATGCCGTGGAAAGTTGAGCATCATTTACGACATGCAGGTAAAGTTGTAAAAAGTAATAATTAAACATTAATGACATACTTTGTATGTCGTATATAACTTTTTACGACATTTTTGTCATGCCATAAATCATCATACTTTCCGTGGCATAATTTTGCATGTCGTAGAAGGTTATTTTTAAAAAATTAATGGCATACTTTGCATGTCGTATATAATATTTTACGGCATTTTCTTGCATGTCATAAATCATCACACTTTTCACGACATAATTTTGTATGCCGCAGAAGGTCATTTTAATATATTTATGACATATTTTGTATGCCGTATATAATCTTTTACAACATTTTCTTACATGCCATAAATCATTACACTTTTCACGGCATAATTTTGCATGCCGTAGAAAGTTATTTTTAATATAATATATATATAGGAATATGACCTTGCCTAACCGTATGTAGACAGTAGTTTATAAAATGTAACTTGTTACAAACCAAGTAGAGGCAGTAACTATGAAGTAAGCAAAAAAATCTAATATCCATACACCAAACAACCTGAATACTAACTTTTATTCTCAACTTCTATCATATCAAGTTGATAACAACCTGTTACAGCCCAAACCCGCCCCTATGGGTTTAGCACCGTAACCGGCTAGTAATCCGAGATTACTGAAGGCCTGGTTAACAGTTAAACAGAATTACAAAGTACAGGGGCTGGCGGAAGCCAATACAATAATTAAAATATGTCCAATGAGCTGTGACAGTCTGTATGCAAAAAGACTTTTCATATAAATACACATTAATAACAGAACAGTCTATACATACATGTACAATATATGCAATCATTCAAGACAGGGACTTGATCCCTATTAGGACAGTACAGTACAGTAATATTCAGTCTATACAGATATAAGCAAAAAGGAAAAATCTAAAACTCCCCAAGCAGCCTCAGCTTGAACAGATCAGGAACCTCGAAGTGAGGCACAAAGGTCGGCTTAACAAAACTGGAGTTTACCGTGACGCTTCTAGTAACGGTCCGGTGCCTGTACACCTACATATATATATGAGCAGTGAGTTAAAGCCCAGTGAATAACATAATGCGTAAAGAGGTTAAGAATGAATGTCCTTTTAGTATTGAAAACAGTCAATTGATTCAGTGTATCAGTCATTCAGTCATAACAATCATATGTGGTACATCCATTAGTAGAACAGTATAGTAAACAATAGGTCTTGAAGGACCGAACAGTCAATGATGGCCATCATAACAGTAAACAAAAGTTCCAAAATAAGAACTGACAGAGATCTCTGTAACAGTAGCAGTAACAGTAACAGTAGTTGCTAGGGATGCCACAATACAGTTCAGAATAGAGGACAACCATTCATTTAGTTAACAATAAACAGTTCAGAAAACAGTTCAGTTAATCATTCAGAAAATATTCATTTTCGAACATATCTTTACAACATTGTTACTCACAGAGTTCTGAGCGACAGATAAGCTAGTGCGCGTCTCCGGATGCCAACCCTACACAGTTGCAAAATGAACACACACTAAGCTACATAGTTGGGAAAATAATAACTTAATCCCTAGTTTGCCTCAGTGTGGTTCTATATCAATATTCTCATTAAAATGTCTGAAACTAGGCCTAAGAATACCTAGGATGGAATGAGGATGCAAAGATGCACTTTAAAAACATTTTTCAGAATTTTTAGAAAACAGGGGTTAGGCTCGAGTATGCCTATATACGCTCGAGCGAACAGGCAAACAAAATACTCCGCTCGAGCGTAAACCTTCCCGCTCGAGCAGTCTGCAAAACGTGACAAAAGTACTGGATGGGTGAAAATCACGCTCGATTGGGCGCTCGATACCCGCTCGAGCGTGTGACACAATTCCTCGCTCGAGCATCCAATACCCCGCTCGAGCGGACTATAAAATAGTGTAAAGTGCTGGATGCACGAGTTTCACGCTCGAGCGCCAGTCACTCCGCTCGAGCGTGAGTCCAAAATCTGAAATTTTCAGATTTGAACCTCAAGCTCAAAAACAAGTTTCAATGTACCAAATTCGATCCTTTTGGGCTAATTTTCTGGAAAACACTTCAAAACTCATAATATAACATGTTTCAAAGATCAATTTGAGAAATCAAAGCCCAAAGGTAGTTCGATTAAATCCAATTTCAAACCAATTTTTCATGAACAAGGCTAATATGGAACATGCAAGAATTTAAACACTTCAAAGCTTCAAATGCTAGCTTAACTGAGCCAATTCTTTTCAAAACAAGATAAATTCATGGTCCTTAGCAAAAATATGAACATGCATGTGACAATTTTCCATGAAAACAACTTTAAACTCATCAATACAGGCATGCATGTATGAAATGAGCTTCAATTCAACATATAGAATCAATTCTAGACTTTAACTCACTAAATTTCCATGATTCATGAAGATACAACTTAAATAAATAAACCAAGGATAGAATCTCTACCTTAGGTCTCCAATCACAAGTCTAGAGGCTCAATTTTGCAATAAACTCTACAATTCCTTCAATTTCCAAGCAAATCAACAAGATGAACTCAATTCTCTCTCACTCTCTCTCTCTTGGTCAGCTAGGAGCTCAAGAAGGCTGAAGAAAGTTTTGTTTGAATGTAATAAGGCTTCAATATGTGTTGCCTAAGTGGTCCACTAACATGGCAACATGGTAAATAAGGCAACTTGTATAATTTAACTTTTATTTATCCTAATTTAATCGTACCAAACACATTTCAGATAAAATATGCCATAAAATCCCATTAATTCTTAACTAACACAAAACAACAATCAATTCCAGATTCGGCCGCCGATAAGGCTCAATTTGCAGTTAAAGCATAAAACATGAACAGATAGTCTAACAGTCAACAGATAGATATGCATTTAAACTAGTACATTCAATCAATCAGTTCAATTTTTCAGTCAGTTCAATTACTTATCATGATCAGTCTCAGTTTAGTAGTAATCAATTGCTTAATCAGTAAACAATAGTGAGGGTTATTACAGTCTCCCCTCCTTATAAAGAGTTTGGTCCTCCAAACTCGAATTACCTTTATTCTGGAAGAAAACAGGATTCTGTGGGAACAATTCAGGATATCTCTTAGCCATGTTGTCTTCCCTTTCCCAAGTGGCAAACACGCTACCATGGTTTTGCCAATCGACTTTTACTAACGGAATCTCTTTATTCCTTAACTTCTTGATCTGTCGGTTCACAATCTGAATGGGCCGTTCTTCATAAGTGTAGTCATCACTTAGTACTACACGGGTAGGTTCAATCACATGGAAGGGATCCCGCAGGTATTCTCTCAACATAGAAATGTGGAAGACGTTCTGCATATGCTCCATTTCAGGAGGAAACGCTACTTGATACGCCACCGGATTGATTTTCTCAACAATCTCATACGGTCCGACATATCTCGGCGCTAGCTTACCTTGACTCTAAAACAAGTCTGGCCTTTCATTGGTGTCACTTTCACAAAAACGTGATCACCTACTTCATACTCTCTGTCTCGCCTTCTGACATCCGCATAACTTTTCTGTCAGCTCTGTGCGGTTTTCAGTCTCTGTTGGATCAGTTTTACTTTTTCTGTAGTCTCATACACAATCTCGGGCCCAAGTAAAGGCCCATCTCCAACTTCTACCCAGCAAATCGGAGATCTACATTTTCTGCCATACAATGCCTTGAAAGGCGCCATACCAATACTTGAATGGAAGCTGTTGTTGTAGGCAAATTCAGCTAACGGTAGATGACTTTCCCAATTTCCCTGAAAATCAAGAACATACATTCTCAACAAATCCTCTAGAGTCTGGATGGTCCTTTCCGACTGGCCATCTGTCTGAGGATGGTATGCACTACTCAATCTCAGTTCAGTACCCAATGCTGTCTGTAAGCTTTGCCAGAATCTCGATGTAAACTTTAAGTCCCTATCAGAAACAATGGACACAGGCACTCCATGCAGTCTAACAATTTCATCAATATAGATTATAGCCAATTTGTCCGTATTATAAATTGTTTTGACAGGTAAGAAGTGAGCAGATTTAGTCAGTTTATCAACAATAACCCAAATTGAGTCCATACATTTACTGGAGCAAGGTAAACCAACGATGAAATCCATAGTAATATGTTCCCATTTCCACTCCGGTATCGGTAAGGGTTGCAGTAAGCCTGCGGGTCGTTGATGTTCAGTTTAACTTGTTGGTAATGAAGACATTTTAATACAAAATCAGCAATTTCTTTCTTCATTCCCAGCCACCAGAAATTCAATTTCAAGTCTTGGTACATTTTCATATTCCCTGGATGGATAGACAATTTCGAATTGTGGCCCTCTTGCAGAACTCTTCTTTGTAGTTTAGAATCATTCGGTACACATAATCTTCCCTGGAATTTCAACACATTGTTCTCAAATTGGAAATCTGGCCTCGGTTTGGATTCCCGTTCTTCGATGATCTTCTTCAAGAAGTCATCCTGTTGCTGTTTCTCTTTAATTTCTTTAACTAGTGCCGGTTGAGCAAAAATAGCAGCTATTGTTCCACCTTGTTCTCGCAAAACAATCTCAATTTCAGATTTCTCAAGGTCACAAAGCAACTCTTTTTGTCCGATGAGTAAACAGGTTAAGTTTCCAATCGATTTCCGACTCAGTGCATCGGCAACGGTGTTAGCTTTCCCCGGATGATACAAAATCTGTAGATCATAGTCTTTTATCAATTCTAACCACCTCCGTTGCCTTATATTCAGTTCTTTCTGTGTGAAGAAGTATTTCAAACTCTTGTGGTCTGTATACACCTCACATGTCGCCCCATAAAGGTAGTGACGCCAGATTTTCAGTGCAAACGCTACTGCAGCAAGTTCTAGATCATGGGTCGGGTAGTTCTTTTCATGCGGTCTCAGTTGTCGGGAAGCATAGGCTATAACTCTCCCATTCTGCATTAAAACACATCCCAAACCCTTATGAGAAGCATCACTAAAAATGGTAAAACCATCCGTACCTAAAGGTAGGGTAAGAACCGGTGCAGTCACAAGTCGAGTTTTCAACTCTTGGAATGTTGATTCTCTTTGGCCAGTCCAGTCAAATGATATCCCCTTCTGAGTCAACTGTGTCAGTGGTAAGGCAATTTTGGAGAAGTCTTTGACAAATCTTCTGTAATACCCGGCTAATCCCAAAAAGCTTCAGACTCATGATGCAGCGACATGGCATAAGTCCCATGGAAATAAAATATGAATGGTGTCTTATGATGTCAGAAAAATATGATGTCTTCTATGAATTATGAGATAGGTCTCTATTACTTTTTTTTTTTTTTTTTTGTACTCTCTTCCAAGTTTGGCCTTACTGATTACATGTCCCAAAAACATAACATGATCAAGCCAAAATTCACATTTAGACAGTTTAGCATACAGTTTCTGTTCTCTTAAGGTCTGTAAGGCAAGTCTTAGATGATGTTCATGTTCTTCTCTACTTTTCGAATAAATCAGAATGTCGTCTATAAATACAACAATAAAGTCATCGAGGAATGTCTGTTCATAAGGTCCATAAATGCAGCAGGTGCATTGGTAACTCCGAAAGGCATAACTAGAATTCGTAATGTCCATACCTCGTTCGAAAAGCAGTTTTGTCAATGTCCTCTGGTTAACTTTCAGCTGATGATATCAGGATCTGAGATCAATCTTAGAGAACACTTGAGCACCCTGTAACTGATCAAATAAGTCATCAATACGCGGCAATGGATATTTATTTTTCGCAGTTACCTTGTTCAGTTCACGGTAGTCGATACAAAGTCTCAGCGAGCCGTCCTTCTTTTTCACAAACAAGACAGGTGCGCCCCATAACGAAGTACTGGGCCTGATGAACTTCTTATCTAACAGTTCTTGCAGTTGCACTTTCAATTCTTTTAGTTCAGTCGGAGCTATTCGGTAAGGAGCTTTAGATATTGGCTGTGTACCCGGAATTACATCAACGGTGAACTCAATCTCCCTATCAATCAAATCCCCTGGCCGATCATCTGGAAAAATATCTGGGAATTCTCTGACTATAGGAACATTGTTCACATCAGTACTATCATCAGTAGATACAGTCAATATAGAACAGAAATACCCTTTACACCTATTTCTAATCAATTTAAAGGCTTTCATGGAGGAAATCAGATACGGGGGAGGTACTACTCCAACTCCATCAAACACAAATTCAGGCAAACCAGGTGGATGAAAAACTACGTGTTTTGTTACACAGTCTATGGTAGCATAATATTTTGTTAACCAGTCCATTCCCAATATCATATCAAAGTGATCAATATTCAGAGGTAGTAAATCAATATACAGATGCATATCCCCAACAATAATTTCACATGCAGGGTACATATAAGAACAAGTCACAGATCCCCCAACAGGTGAAGATACAGCTAATAAGTAATTCATGGGTTCCAATGGTCTATTCAAGTTTCGCGAAAAAGCATGCGATACATATGAATGTGTAGACCCCGAATCAATCAGTATATAAGCATTTTGGGTACAAATAGAGAGGATACCTGACACGATAGTCTCGGTATTTTGTACGTCTCTCGGTATGAGTGCGAACACTCGGCCTTGCCTCATAGGCTCTTTCCCAGTAGCTTTAGGGTTGGGTTTCGGTGGAGCAGTTGATGCTGCGGCACTTGGTGCAGCTTTACTATTGCCCTGAGAAGTGGAAGGGCAATCTTTGACCATGTGGCCCACCTTGCCACACCTGTAACAAGCACCTGACAGTTTATAACAAACCCCTTTGTGTTTCTTACCACATTCAGAATAGGGCGGTATGGAACCACTTCCCTAACTGGAGCTGGTGGTTGACCCTGAGTTTTGCTTTTTGTTCAGTGGGTTGTTTCTACCTTTCTTGAATTTAAAACCCCGTTTCTTCCCGCGCCACTCAGTTGCGGGTGTTTCAGTCTGTTTCAAAGCTTCGATATTTGCTTCGGCCATAATGGCTCGGTCAAGAACATCTACATATTTAAGCAGTTTCAGTACATTAATCCTGTCCAGTATTTCTACATTAAGGCCGCTTTCAAACTTCCTGGCCTTTTTGTAGTCGGTGTCTACCATGTGTGGTGCATATCTAGCAAGTTTGGTGAACTTTGTTTCATACTCTCCTACGGACATGGCGCCTTGTTTCAGTTGTTCAAATTCAGTCACCTTTCTGTCCCTGACACACTGAGGGAAGTACTTTTCGAAGAAGGACTCCTTAAATTGAGCCCAGGTCATGACAGTATTTGTATCGCGGATCAATATCCACCACCTTCTAGCTTCTTCTTGTAAGGTGAAGGTAGTTAGCAACAATTGGTGTGCTTCAGAGCACATAAATACTTCAAACAATTTTTCTGTTTCAAGAACCCAAGCTTCAGCCTTTAAGGGTTCAAGGCCTCCCTGAAAGGATGTCGGTTTCATCTTACTAAATTTCTGTGTTAGAGCTATGATATCATCATTCATAGGTGGCTCTGGTTGTACTGGAGGAGGTGGGGGCTGTTGGTTCTGTTGTTGCTCTAGTCTCTGAGTTAGTAGTTCCACCATTCTCTCTAACCTTGCCATTCTTGCCGCAGAGGATTCAGTTTCATTAACATTTCTTGTGTTGTCCATCTCACTATAGACAGTTATAACAATTATAAACATAGGCAGTTGTATACTTAGACAGATTATCACATTAACAGTTATATTCATGTCTTAGCCACACACACTTATCATGCTCATGTAATGCCCTAATCACTTTTCTAGGACATCCTATAGCTCATTTGGACACGTGTGTGCGGTATAACTCGTGGTTAAGTATCGCTCTGATACCACTCTGTCACAGCCCAAACCCGCCCCTATGGGTTTAGCACCGTAACTGGCCAGTAATCCGAGATTACCGAAGGCCTGCTTAACAGTCAAACAGAATTACAGAGTACAGGGGCTGGCGGAAGCCAATACAATAATTAAAATATGTCTAATGAGCTGTGACAGTCTGTATGCAAAAAGACTTTTCATATATATACACATTAATAACAGAACAATCTATACATACATGTACAATATATGCAATCATTCAAGACAGGGACTTGATCCCTATTAGGACAGTACAGTACAGTAACATTTAGTCTATACAGATATAAGCAAAAAGGGGAAATCTAAAACTCCCCAAGCAGCCTCAGCTTGAACAGATCAGGAACCTCGAAGTGAGGCACAAAGGTTGGCTTGACAAAACTGGAGTTTACCCTGACGCTTCTAGCAACGGTCTGGTGCCTGTACACCTACATATATATATGAGCAGTGAGTTAAAGCCCAGTGAATAACATAATGCGTAAAGAGGTTAAGAATGAATGTCCTTTCAGTATTGAAAACAGTCAATTGATTCAGTGTATCAGTCATTCAGTCATAATAATCATATGTGGTACATCCATTAGCAGAACAGTACAGTAAACAATAGGTCTTGAAGGACCAAACAGTCAATGATAGCCATCATAACAGTAAACAGAAGTTCCAAAATAGGAACTGACAGAGATCTTTGTAACAGTAGCAGTAGCAGTAACAATAACAGTAACAGTAACAGTAGTTGCTAAGGATGCCACAATACAGTTCAGAATAGAGAATAACCATTCATTTAGTTAACAGTAAACAGTTCAGAAAACAGTTCAGTTGATCATTTAGAAAATATTCATTTTCGAACATATCTTTACAACATTGTTACTCACAGAGTTCTGGGCTACAGATAAGCTAGTATGCGTCTCCGGATGCCAACCCTACACAGTTGCAGAATGAACACACACTAAGCTATACAGTTGGGAAAATAATAACTTAATCCCTAGTTTGCCTCAGTGTGGTTCTACATCAATATCCTCATTAAGATGTCTGAAACTAGGCCTAAGAATGCCTAGGATGGAATGAGGATGCAAAGATGCACTTTAAAAACATTTTTCAGAATTTTCAGAAAACAGGAGTTACGCTCGAGCGTGCCTATATATGCTCGAGCGAACAGGCAAACAAAATACTCCGCTCGAGGGGTCTGCAAAACGTGACAAAAGTACTGGATGGGTGAAAATCACGCTCGATTGGGCGCTCGATACCCACTCGAGCGTGTGACACAAGTCCTCGCTCGAGCGTCCAATACCCCGCTCGAGCAGACTGGAAAACAGTGTAAAGTGCTGGATGCACGAATTTCACGCTCGAGCGCCAGTCACTCCGCTCGAGCGTGAGTCCAAAATCTGAAATTTTCAAATTTAAACCTCAAGCTCAAAAACAAGTTTCAATGACCAAATTCGATCCTTTTGGGCTAATTTTCTGGAAAACACTTCAAAACTCATAATATAACATGTCTCAAAGATCAATTTGAGAAATCAAAGCCCAAAGGTAGTTCAATTAAATCCAATTTCAAACCAATTTTTCATGAACAAGACTAATATGGAACATGCAAGAATTTAAACACTTCAAAGCTTCAAATGCTAGCTTAACTGAGCCAATTCTTTTCAAAACAAGATAAATTCATGGTCCTTAGCAAAAATATGAACATGCATGTGACAATTTTCCATGAAAACAACTTTAAACTCATCAATACAGGCATGCATGCATGAAATGAGCTTCAATTCAACATATAGAATCAATTCTGGACTTTAACTCACTAGATTTCCATGATTCATGAAGATACAACTTAAATACATAAACCAAGGGATAGAATCTCTACCTTAGGTCTCCAATCACAAGTCTAGAGGCTCAATTTTGCAATAAACTCTACAATTCCTTCAATTTCCAAGCAAACCAACAAGATGAACTCAATTCTCTCTCTCACTCTCTCTCTCTTGGTCGGCTAGGAGCTCAAGAAGGCTGAAGAAATGTTTTGTTTGAATGTAATAAGGCTTCAATATGTGTTGCCTAAGTGGTCCACAAACCTGGCAACATGGTAAATAAGGCAACTTGTGTAATTTAACTTATTTTAATCTATTTAATCATACCAAATCACATTTCAAATAAATATGCCATAAAATCACATAAATTATGATTAACACATATCACTAATCAATTTCAGATTCGGCCATTCGGCCGCCGATAAGGCCTTCAATTTGCAGTTTAAAGCATAAAACATGAACAGATAGTCTAACAGTCAACAGATAGATATGCATTTAAACTAGCACATTCAATCAATCAGTTTAGTTTTTCAGTCAGTTCAATCACTTATCATGATCAGTCTCAGTTTAGCAGTAATCAGTTGCTTAATCAATAAACAGTGGTGAGGATTATTACACAACCTCAAACATACAAATCAAAAAAAGTATCCAAATCATAAGATTCATTTATCAACATGATCTACACTATGAAAGATGGAAAACTTTTCCCATATGATTATGCATTTATCCAGAGTTTTAAATCACATGATCTACACTATGAAAGAACTGTCCAAGTACAAGTTTTGGGATCCAATAGTGCCCAGAGATGATCATGATCACCATCCTTCACAACTGTTGGCAATGCAACACTTATCACTTAGTTGTAACAATTAGCTTTCTTGTTTATCAGACACCATGGTGTCGGCATCTCAAGTCTCTGTCACCAAATTATCATCATCATCACCATCTTCACTTGCTGCAAATAACACAACAAGAAGCCATTTTGCCCCTGTTATTACTCGACAAATACAAAAACAAAAAGAATTCAACTTTACATCTTAGATTACAAATGGTATGGCCAATATAAAATTCAAAAAACCACAAATTTCAAATCAAACATCAATACATACAACTTTACACATCTCAAATGACAAACAAATAGAAGATGGAAAAAAGAAACCACACGTATCAAAAACATTCTAATGGCAGTAGTGTCACAGAAACGTTTATAGGTAGGTAGGTATAATTAAAGCATAACAGAAATGTTTTTGTCAAACAAATCTTTATAAGCCAAGCAATAAATTCTTTATAATATTGATTTCAAAGACAGCACAATATTCATCTTACAAGTATATTCACTCATATTAACTTCAAAGAAATAGCTAGTGAAATTATATAGAAATGAAAAAAATAAAAAGAACGACAAGTAAATGAGAACTAGTCAAGCCCAATAAGCATTCAGTTATATGAAAATCAAATGTTCCTACTTCTCATTAATCATGTAACACTTCCATACCCTCACAATCCATCCTCACGTAGTGCTCATCTTCATCATTAGTATTTGCACAAAGTCTAGATGCATCTAAAGGTGCAGAGGGCATATAGATTGGGCCTTTCTATCACACAAAATGTGATAGAAAGGCCCAATCACATACAAAATGTGATTGGATCCAAAGGGACCAAGAATAACACACAAAATGTGATACGTTTTCTATCAAAGTCATATGGAAATACTGAAATCACAGTGCACATCAGTATAGTTGATTTTGGGCCTTCTCTTTTGAACATGTAGATTGGGCCTTCTTTTCCAAAAAATAAAAAGATGTTGAAACTGTAAACTATATAGGGCTTAACAATAGCATGTAGACTTTAAAATTTTGGGAACCTTCTAATTTGGAAGCCTAAAACATGGGTTTTGTTGGCTTTATGCATAAGCAGCCATTTTAAGATTGATCAATGTCCACATTGAAACACATCAAGAGGTCAAGTGTGAGCTCAAACTAGGTTTAGCGATTAACATTTTTTTTTAATAACAGAACAACGATAAATTCAAGTAAGGATCACTTTCACTGTTTAAATTTTGATGTCATAACTGGGTTTCATGTGCATAAGACATAGCATCAAATAAATGATCATGGCACCGCATTCCATAATTATGGCCTCCACTTCCGCAAGCAATAGAACATGCCATATGAAGACTAGTATGGAAATATGAGCATTGCATATGAAACTAGCATTTAAACAGAAGCAATGAGTACATTTGTAAGTATAAATATAGTTCAAGTAAAATGAGAAATTCAAATAATAGATGTAGAGTAAGAAAGTAAAGGTATACCAAAATAACAAGGCAACAAGACCACATCAAGCTCAACACTTAAATTTTAAAAAACATTTTTGTATCGGTCAATTGGGAGCAAGAATCCATTTCATAGACATCCTAAATTAGGCTAGCAATTATGGAAGCCATGAAAGCAAATTATTAATTACTGCCACTTTCAACTTTCTGTAGCATAGAAAAATAATTAATTTCTTAGTTTTTAGAACATGTAGTCATGAATCAAATTAATAGAAGAAAGGCATGTAGTCATGTAGTCATGTAGCCATATGCAAAAGATATTCTATGTCAGTAGCAAAATCTATATGGCCAGTAGTTCAATGCAGATGTGAAGTAGCACAAGAGTAATTTTTTTTCCCCAGTGATTTCTGTATATTAATAACCTCAGTGGATTTAGTTTTCTTGATGTATGCATCTGCATATGCATATGTATTCAAAAGTGATATTTCTGTCGGGCAACCAGGAAAAAGCCTAGCAATTTAGAACAGGGAACTGCTGTCAATGTAGAAAAGTGCAAACATTCAGAAGACCAGAACTAATCAATCAGTTGATTTAAATAGTCCCGGACTCATTTCATGCAGATACATCACAGGAGTTCATTAAATTAAGATACAAATATAAGCATATATAGATACATCCAATCATACAGTTTTTAAGTCAAAACATAGTCATCGGGCCACATAACCCAACACTAAAAACTCAATTCAAGTTTAGATCAATAGTCAAATCACTTCATATCTCATTCAAACCCTAAAAACTCAAACAAATAGTCCAAAATTCATTTCCACAACAAAGAATCGAATAAATGATTATTCACAACAAACAGAAATTACATTAATTTTCTTTACAAGGTTTAGGGAAATTCATACAACCACAACCTCAAATCCTCATAACTCAATTCTCCACTAAAAACTGAAGATTATTTGCAAATCCATAGGATGCTACATTCTCCAAATTCTACAAAAAGCAATGACTTCAAAATTTGGAAATTAAAATTTTTTTAACCAACTAAAATGTTTTAGAACTAATAATGACTCTATAAAAGATCTAATAACATTATTTAAAGCATGGTAGTAAGACAATAGTAGTCTATTATTCACACATTGAAGCTTTCATTGTTTAAAAAGAATATATTGGTCCCAATTGTGTCCTTTTCTCATAGCAGTTACTCAGAAAGTCACATGATCAATTATGCTCAATAATCAAAGTTTCTATAGGGCATGATCATGCAAGAATTATTTCAATCAATGTATCACCCATTAAGCTACTCTAATATTTTTATAGAAGTACCCATGTTGATTCTAGTCTTTCCAATTTTTTATTCTCATTCAATCAAATATCCTCATAAATCCCTTTCACTCTTTTCCATTTTTATTCTCTTTTGGCTACAACTCATTTCATTATATCTCATCTAACACCACTGTTTCTTGGCTTTCCAACATTTGCTCTATGGCATTTAGGTCATTCTGTACTAATCAACATAAATTTTCTTATTTTTTGGTAAGTATAAATTCTCTTTAAATTTACTGCTTTTATCATTACTAAAGCACTTAAGGTGAAAATCAAACTTTAACTATCCACCTAAAATGCTGGGGAATATCCTCCCTTAAGGTGCAAAATCAAACTTTAACTGTCTACCTCATACCCTTGAGAAAATCCTCTTCAACTACTGTCTTCTTACACATGATTATGCTAAGGCTCCTAAGACAACAATTTACAGCATCTATATACCAGTTAAGAAACAGATGCGGAACACAATCAGAAGAGAGGAGACAACTTTAGAATTTTAAACGAAGCAACCCTTGGAACCTTGTTTGGTCAAGTATGTTTTAATTCATTTTCATGGACTATAATTCATTTTCATGAACATCTCAAAACTTCCTAGATATTCTGTTTTAATTTTTAAAGGCAATTCATGTGATAATGATATAGTTATTTGCTTAACAATGTTTATTGTTACACAAAGAGGAGCTAACTTTTGACAAATCCATATCAAGGAAAAACAATGGATCCAACTTCAAAAAATTAATAATGAGATCATATTGCCCGAAGAATTCCTATTGTTTTCAAATAACACTAAACTAACCAACTTGTGAGAAAATGCAGACAAGAGATTTACCTATGGCCGATCATGAACCGGACATTAATTCCCTTCTCTTGTTCCAATTGAAGAAGTCTCTCTCCTAATCAAACCCAAAAAGCTAGTCGGGGAAAGCCATGAAATTAAGATATAGTAGGACATACACACAAGGACAATATCAAATTATCACCTTGAGGCATCCAAGTTTGTCTAACCAAATCGCGCCTCTTCCTACTACTAAAAGCAGTATTATTTCCAATAACTATGAAGGCCTTTTTCCTTGGCAAGCCTTCATGAGTCAATTTAGAGATGTGAGTGAACTCATCAGATCTTCACATCTCTTCAGAACTTCGAATAGCAGCCAGCTCCATCTGAAGCGTTGAAATGGACTTGTCTAGTGATTTGCCAGACCTCCAAAAAAATCAAATTATCAATACAAACTTTAATTGATCCAGTAAACACACACACAAGAAAAAATATGAAGTATGACGAGTTTCAAACTCATCGAATCGTTCGATACAGAAGAACGTATAGAGATCAGTGAGGGTTTGAGATCAATTGATTGAGAATGCATTTGGCTTCGTGGTCTACATTTCCATGGCTCTCACCAAACCCTAACTTCAAATGAAATGATGAATTCGAAGCTTTTGGAAAAAAATGATCGAGAAACAGAAAAAAATTGATCGATTGGGAAAGAAAGTGAATGACATACATTGTGAGGCCATGCGAAATCGCGTGATCGATCAAGGCAATGCTCGAAGAGAGCTCGAGAGCTCGCACATAGAGAGAGAGAGAGAGAGAGAGAGAGATAGAGAGGGTTTGGGGCAAAAATATATACAGATAGAATGAGAGTCGTCTGGGAGAGTGGTGAACGAGGCTAAAATAATGTTTTTGAGCTTTTTTTTTTTGCTTTAGTTATTGTAAGTTTTTTAATATTTTAAATAATTTTTTTTTACTTTTTAAATTAAAATAATTAACATATATTTAACAGAAAATATTTTTAACTTTTTAAAAAAATCATTCAATTCAAAAAAATATAAAATTTAATACATTTCATATATATTATATTATATTTTATTATATTTTTTTTACAAATATTTTACTTTTTAGTTGTATTCAGATTAGACACATCTAAAAAGTAATAAATAAATAAATTATTAAAAGAAGGGAAAATATCAAATCAAGGTAATTTAAAATAAAATTACAAATTAGTGAGAAGCCATATAAATATTAATGATGAAAATTATAAACTTTTTCATGAATATTTAATTTTTTTCCCAAAATCCCACTGGGCGCAATTATCCCTTAAAAGAGACACTAAATTATAAAATAATATATAAATTATTTTTTACATTTTCCTCAATTAGGAAAATTTAAAGTGAGAAGCGTGGTTGGAAATTGTTAGCTTTTTTAAATCAAAAAAAAAAAAAAGAATTGAAATTTTCTTTAATAAAAGTTTTCACCACATGCTAATGCATGCCGTGTAAAGTTATAATATTTTACGACATGAAGTGTATGTCATCTTAAACAAATATTTTATGACATATTTTTGTATGCCGTGAAAATATACATTTTTTACGGCATGCTTTTGCATGCCATAAAAAAATTCTGAATTGAATTTTTTATTTTTTTTGGCAAAAGTTTTCACGACATGTTAATGCATGCCGTGTAAAGTTATAATATTTTATAACATGAAATGTATGCCGTCTTAAGTGCAAATATTTTACGACATATTTTTGTAAGTCGTAAAAGCATACGTTTTTTACAGCATACTTTTGCATGCTATATAAATATATGAATCAACGACTTACATGATATGTATGCTGTTATTGACAAAACATTAACGACTTGCAAAAAAAAAATGCCGTAGAATGTACTAACTACGACATACATTTAATGCATGTCGTAAACATGATGCCGTGAATAGTTAGTTTTGTTGTAGTGTTGGAATAGTAAAGCTTTCAATCCCCTCATTTGCTTCGTTACACCTGAAGAGTTTCGTCGTATCTGCACATGTGAGGTAGCAAAAGAGGCTTGGGACATTCATGAAACTATTCATGAGGGTACTACTACTGTTAAAAGATAAAAAATTCAATGTCTCACCTCCACTTTTGAAACTCTTTTTATGTGTGATGATGAGACGTTTGATGATTTTTATGTTAAACTTAGTGACATCATAAATTCCTGTTTCGCACTTGGTGAAAAAATCCCTAAAACTAAAGTCGTTGGAAAATTTTTGAGGTCTTTACTCGAGAGGTTCCAATCAAAAGTTATAGCTATCGAAGAGGCTCAAAATGTTGATACTTTCAAGTTTGATCAATTGGTTGGAAACTTGCAGACTTATGAAGCCCACCAGATTTCTAAGAAAAAACAAAAAGATAGTGTGGCTTTTACCAGTGCTTATGAGACTGCTAAGACCCCTGAGGTTGAGTTTGATCTAGAGTCCGAAATGACAACTATGTTTACCAAACAGTTTAAAAAAGATTTAAAGAAAAAGAAGCCAAATTTCAAAGACTCTAGTTCAAAAGATAAAGGTAACGAAAAATTCAAAATTTTTCCACCAAAAGTTGCTCCTAATACTGAGAAAAAGATTGTGAAGGGGTAAGGTGTCAAGTGTTATAAATGCCAAGGGTTTGGATATATTGCACTTGAATGTCCATAAGAAAAACCGCAAAAAAGTCTATACTGTGACTTGGGATGATGAAAGCGGGTCAGAATAAGAACTCGAAAAAACCAAATCCGATAAAGACGAAGATAGTACCTAGATGGCATTCTAGTCTACTGTCACTCAACCATCTCCAAAGCCAGTTGAGTTTGCTCATGGTCAGAGTCTGCATCGTGCTCCTATCTTTAATGTAAGTGATTACTTATTCTGGAAAATACGAATGAGGATGTATCTTAGAGCTCATGACCCTGAAGGTTGGCAAGTAATTGAAGAGGATACTGAAAGTGTTGACAATCCAAGCAATCAAAGAGTTCCAACTACCATCTGTGAAGCAATTTTGAAGAAGAACAACAACGAATTGCTCACTGCACGAAAGCCAAAGATGCATGGGACATTCTTAGTCAAGTCCATGAAAGAGGTGAGTCATCTTCTTGACCATCCATCAACTTTTATGCTTTAGTTGCTCGACTGGATGAGATTGAAAAGAAAGAGGAGCAAAAAGAAGATGATGAAACCTCGGAAGACAATGATGAGATTGATGATGATGACCTACAACAAGCTTATGAAAATCTATACAATGAATCTCTGAACTTGTCCAAGATCAATGACAAACTGACTTGCAAGCTCAAAGCATGTGAAAGCGAGAATGTCAAGCTAAAGGGAGAGGTTGTAACAGCCAAACAGTATGTCATCAAGATCTCCAATGATAGACAAGACCTATGTGGAAAAATTTTTCCTTGTAAGACCGAAATGAATGAACTTCTGAAAATCTATGCCACATATGAAGAGAAGATTAAAATCCTTGAGATGTCACAAGCTGCATTGAAAGAGATGGTCAGTCAGAAAGATGAATAACTCAAATATGCTAGAGCCATAATTGTTATGTGGAACAAAAGGGTTAAAGACATTGGAAGACATCCTCGGGTCTCAATAGATGAGTTGTGACAAAAGTGGGCTAGGCTATGGTAATTAATGCCACAGTTCAAAAGGGATAGGCCTCTACATCACATAACATCAAGACTTAAACAAAGGGAAAGCTGAAGGTTTAACGGGGTGATTCCTCTCTTCATCTACCTAAAAGGGGTAAGATCAACAAAAGGGAGGTAAAACCTATTTTTGTTTATCATCTTTGTGGTAGGTATGGCCACATTTGTCTTTATTGTTTTGAGTTGTTTGGTAAGGTGTCTTAAAAGGGTAGAAATTCTAATACATTTTGGGTGAGGAGACAACCTTATATGTCTAGGCGGAACACCAAGATTCGTGAGGATGTTCACAACGCTAAGACGTTTACCAAGACTGCCAGTCCTACTTCTGTTAAGAGCAAAGAGATATGGATGAGAAAAAGTGACTTAACTTGTTTTGTTGTTCACACTGCACTGAAAGCACGTGACTCACACATGTGGTACTTTGATAGTGGGTGCTCTCATCACATGTTTGGTAATAAATCCTACTTCACATCTCTTGAAAAAGATGAAGGAGGAATTGTTACCTTTGGAGATGGTGGCACTTCTAGAGTCATTGGTAAGGGCTCTATAAGTGTGGCTGGTCTTCCTAAGCTTGAAAATGCCCTTCTTGTTGATGGCCTTACAGAAAATCTGTTGAGCATTAGTCAAATGTAGGGCTGAGCAAGTGATCTGTGAAATCCGTAATCCGATCCAGTCCAGTCCAATCCGATAGGTTTGGATTGATTTTTTGAATCCGCGGTTCGGTTCTGGATTGAAGAATTAATAATCCGTAGTTTACGGATTGGTTCCGGATTGAGTCCCACGGTTCCGGATTGGAACCGATCCGAACCGTATACAAATAGTCTATATTTTTATTATACATCCTCCCCCATAGTATCTTCTCTTCATTCTATATAAAATATAAACTCAAACCTAAAACCGTATAATATCTTCTTTTATTACTCTTGTTTGTTGATTTTTAGTTTTAAGTTGTAATGGTTTAAATACTTATAGTGAAACTAATTTTCTTTTGGTTGTTTAAATTTTAGAATAGTATGTCGCTATTATAGAAAAATATGTTGCTATTGTGGAACTAATATAACGCTATGTTTATATTTTTATAAAATTAAAGTGTTATAAATATATTTTTGTTATTTAATTATGTGAATCCGTGGTCCTAAACCGATCCAATCCGTATTTAAATGGATTGGTTCGGATTGGTTCCATGATTTAAACGGATTGGATTGGTTCCAATTTTTTAAGAACCGTAGATAACGGATTAGTCCTGGTTTTATCCCAATCCGGTCCAATCCGGACCATGCTCACCCCTAGTCAAATGTGTGATTCCCATCATGAAGTATTATTTTCAAAAAATAAATGTAAAATTTTGGATAAGAAGGGAAATACCATCATGCATAGGGTTCGCACATCTGATAATTGCTATAGGATTATTACCACTAATGATCTTACTTGTCACTCGGCCGTCATAAGTAATCTTGACTTGTGGCATTAAAGATTAGGTCACATAAGTTTCAAGGACCTAACTAAGATAGCCAACTAAGAGCTTGTGAGAGGAGTACCCAAAATGGGTAAGAATGTGAACCATGTGTGTGGACCTTGTCAACTTGGGAAGCAAACTCATGCTTCTCATAAAAAGGTGAACAACTATACAACCAAACGTCCTCTTGAACTGGTTCATATGGATCTTATAGGACCCACTCGCACTGAAAGCATTGAAGGTAAAAGATAATTTTTTTTAACTGTGGATGATTACTCTCATTTTTCATAGATTAATTTTTTAAGATAAAAATCTGATACATTTGATGCTTTCCAGGCTTTAGTCTTTAAAATCCAAAATGAATACGGTGTCTCTATTGGGCGTATCATAAGAATCCGAACTAATCATGGTCGTGAGTTTGAAAATAGCTTGTTTTCGGAGTTCTGTGATATGCATGAAATTAAGCACGAGTTTTCTGCACCTATTACTCCACAGCAAAATGGAGTTGTTGAGAGAAAAAACAGGGTTGTTCAAAAGATGGCTAGGGTCATGCTCCTTAGCAAGAAAGTTCCTCCAAAGTTTTGGGCTGAAGCCTTAAATACCGATGTTTATGTTGTGAATCGTGTGTATTTAAAGCCTGGCACTTTACAAACTCCATATGAATTGTGGAAATGATTGAAACCCAATGTAAAATACTTCAAAACTTTTGGGAGTAAATGTTACATTTTCAAAGATAGAGAGCCCTTGGCAAATTTGACT